TTAAAATAAATTATCTCCTCTTCTTTGCAATAATCGGAAAGCAAAACAAACTACAAGATTTATAATTCCACTGCGATGTTTGAGACGAAATAAGAAATATTTATTGCAAGAACTACCCAGAATTTATAAAACGAAAGTGAAAGTCAACGAACTTTCGATTTAAATTCGAAGAAAAACAAAAGACAATCAGATGGCAGGGTTATGTTATGACAAAACATAGCAGAAATGGACGAGGAAGACGTATCTAGGTGTTCAATATGTTTTGAACATTTTAAAACACCACGCTGCTTACCATGCTTGCACACATTTTGTCAAGATTGCTTGTCGTCCCATATTTTATCCATATAGATAGTTTTCGATAGACCTAAATTTAGTAAAAGTTACCTCCCGTTGGTCGCCATATTGGAGGTCGACTCGGTGAGTTTTCCTATTTGTCTTACCAAGTTTAAGAAAATATAGCAGAAATATTTGGTGGAAAATCTTTATTAAATATTTTTTTTTAAATAAAGGAGGCTTCCAAGAATTTATATACTTCAGAAAAATAATGATTCCTAATTCAAAATCGCAATTATAAAAATTTAAAATTGGTTGAACAATGAAGCAATATGAGCATTTGGACCTCCAGTATGGCTGCCAACGGGAGGTAACTTTTGCTAAATTTAGGTCAAGTGAAAACTATCTATAGTAAAACTAAGGAAGACCCTTTAGGATTTCATTGTCCTCTATGTCGTGAATTTGTGCCCGCAGTTTTGCTTTAAATGTTAATGAATGGAGTAAACATTTACCGACGAGCGAATTTTTAGAAAAAAATTGCTATTTGGAATGAAAATGGGAAATTATGCGAAGCCTGTCAAAAGGACAATGAAAAGGAGAAAGGTTCTCACTTTTGTCCATCTTGTTGTGAATTCCTATGTGAGAATTGTACAAAGTTTCACCGAAAAAGTCGCGCTTCTCAGGATCACGAGGTTTTTCCTGTTGGGGATGTACATATAAAAGAGAAATTTGTAACTGCAACAAAAACAGAGAAGGTTACTTGTGACAAACACAGAGATCGATGCATAGAATTATTTTGTGCTGATCATGATGAACTGTGTTGCGCAATGTGTTGCAGCACCGAGCATAGGAAATGTGAAAAAGTGGAAACGATTGAACAAAAAGCAAATGAAATAAGATATGGGTCGGTTGATGTCTTACTACGTGACATGAAAAATTTTGAAGTTAAACTTGACAAAACGAAACGTGTTCAAGAAATAAACATTTCAGAAATAGAAAATAAAGTAGATGCAATCACAGAAGAAGTTAAGTGCTTTAGAGAAACAATTATTAAAAATCTTGAAAAATTAGAAAATGAATTTCTAGATAAAATGAACAAACAGTTAAAAGAGTGCAAAGAAATACTGACAAAAATTTTCAAAATCCCAGTGATTTGAATAATTTGGTGAAATATTACAGAAAAGAGTTAGAACCGACTAGAAATTCTCAAGATGTAAGATTTGTTAGTGCCTTTTCGAAAACTAAGAAAGCAATTGAACACTTAAACGACGTCAAAACTAGAGAGAATATATTTTGAATTTAAATCACATCTAGGTAATTTAAAAGCAGTTGCTAGTTGTGCAAATTGTCAAAAATTAGGAGATATTGAAATAACCGAAAGAAGAGAAAAATTAGAAGATATTTTCGATTTTGGAATTCTTCGCCTGGAGTTGTGCAAAGATGTATCTTTACCACCTGGCAGCAATATCCGCAGTATGCTGTTTCTTTCAAACAACGATCTGCTATTTCCTGACTTGAAAAATGCCAGGCTGCTAAAGTACTCTTTTATCAATGGAAATTGGAGTCTGCAACAAGAAGTTGAATTCGGTCACACAAACTTTGACATGAAGCAAAATGGTGATATTATTTTTGTTTCCTGTCCTGAAAGTAAAAGTATACTAGTTATCACAGCAGATGACTTTAAAGTTTTACGTACAATCCATGTTGAAGAAGATTGTCGTGGACTTGCGGTTTATAATGAATTACTTTATGTAGCGTGTGGAACATCAATTATTAAGATGGACACTAAAGGGAATGAATTAAAAACCTATCCCACCAAATATGGTGTCCATCATGTTGTTGTAACAAAGAAAGGTCACATTGTGTACAGTAATTACTGGAACCCACAAATAGTGACAGCAATCACAGACGAAGGTGATGTTGTCTGGACTTACGGCGACTCTACACTCCGGCATCCTTATGGTCTTCATATAGACTCTGATGATATGATCTACGTGTCAGCAACAGATAGTAACAGTGTTCACATATTGTCATGTGAGGGGTCTCTACTGCACATCGTTAAAAATATAAAGTCACCCGTGTTCTTTATATTGAATAAGAATAGACGTCTTTGTTGCGTTGGCAACAAACTGTCCAATACACGAACATGAGAGACACGCATTACAATTTTTTCAATTCAGTAAAGTCGATCTTAATTAATATAACAAGTCATCAGATGTGTGATACTGTTTCTGTTTGCCATAACATTATACTGGTATATATGTACATGTGTATATCTTTAAAAAAATGTGAATGTTGTGGTATTGGTCGATGGCTTATATACGAAAAATTGGCATTTGAAAAAAAATACTAATAAAAGTTTGTTTCCCTCTGGTCATATGATTTTTTTTAAAATAAAGAATAAATCATTTTCTTCTGTTTTTGAGGAATTGGAAAAATTCATGAAACTTTTTATTACAAACTTACACAATAGACCCATGGGCAACAACGCTCATCATAGTAACTTTGGCCCTGCTTTTTTTGGTTCCTCATAACCTTAACAAAAATAAAAACACGACAGACGCTTTAACGGACGAAGTCCAGTCTTAAAGAAATGTGTTTTTTTTTAAATCTTGAAAAGCTAGAAAATGAATTTTTTGACGAAAATTTCACATTTAAAGCAACGTGCAAAGAAAAGCTGACAAAGAATATACAGACAGTTGACGACAGAATTCTTTAGATGGAACTTAGCAGAAAAGATATCTTGACTGCTCTAAGGTTGCAAGATGTCACATTAATATTCTATTGGCATTCCTCAAAACGAAGAAGACCAGTTAGAATATATCGTAAGCAGAAACTAGTCTAAGAGAGAATTAAATCGAGAATCGACATTTCGGTCAAGTATAGATCCTGATTTTAAAACATTTGCAAATCTCTCAAAAATTGGGAATGCTGAAATTATTGAAAACAGTGTAAGTTTAAGCGAAGTCGATAAAAATAGGTAGCAACGGTTCCTTCGTAAAGCTCTCAGGACTTCAAAGTGAAAGGTGTAGGTCTTTTTGGATGAGATTTTAAAAACCAAGAACCCATGTGATGGCGGCCGTTGCCATGATAATGCCATTTGCTCTTTAAATGACCCCGATTGCCGAGTATGTGAAATTGAAGCCCTTCACCTTTATACATCATGACATCTCTATAAAGAGTGAAAAAGAGCAAGAGCCACTTAGGGGCTTAATTGGCCCTCAGAATTTCTGGAAAATCAAACCTGTACTGTTCAGTTTAGGTTGAAAATGCAGTGTTTATCACTCAGACTGTTTGTGACCATGTTTCTTTTGAACATGACTCAATTTTCCCTCTAGTCTATGCATTATGACTTCACAAAATGCGGCATTTTCCTTATATCATGTAAATTCGTTTAAAAATGGTCTAAAGTTGAAGCAATTTTCCAATATTTCATATAGAGCACAACCTGCGATCCAAAATATGCAATTACATAATGAAAGATCTATTTCTGAAGTTAAAGAAGCACGTTTTAAATTTTGGATCGTGGGATCTGCTCATATTTTAATTCTTTGCTGAAGGTAGTCAAATACGCAAAATCAAGAACATAGCGTTTTCTCGAAGCCTGATTTCCAATACTTAGATTCTAAAAAAGAAATTTTAATGTAGGAAATGAAAGCATTCAGTCTCTACTTTATTTTTATATATGAAATGGGAACAAATGTGAAAGTTTATTAATTGATATAAGGACATGGCCATTTTATGCATAAAGTGAACCTTGCTCTTTACGATTAGGACATAATTGATTGATTGTATGTTTTTTATGTTCCTCTCCAAAATTTTTCACTCATATGGAAACGCCACAACTTGCCGGTGAAGAGCTGCAAATTTTGTCCTATAGACACTCAGGGCCATTGAGCAGGAGGAATCTTTTTCGTGCGAAGCTCTACTGCGACCTCGATCTCATCCGAAGGACCGGTCTCCACGTCCCACAGTGGGATTCGAACCCGCGACGTAAGGATTGACTCCTTAATAAGCGACTCTAGAACAGACGCTTTAATCACTGCGCCACGCAGGCGACCGATAAGGATATGAAACAGCAGCCAATCAATCAATAATATACAGTTAACAGAGTTCTCTCATATATATTGTCCACACACAAGAAGGTGACTACATGTACATGTTACTAAAGAAACATAAGCATTACCTGTTTGAAATTGCTGCCTTGTTTCAGTTTTAAAAGGTGACAAGAAATCCAAAATTTCCTTTTTAATTTTTTTATTTCAAATGAATATTCCATTTGCTAATTCTAGTTGAAAATTCGAAGAAAAAAAAAAAGACGTACTGCAGGCCAAGGAGAAAAAAGAACTAGAAGTTTTAATTTCACATTTAGCACAGATGGAATTTAAAAAATACAAGAATTTAAAAACACAAGTAATACAAATCTTTTCCCCTTTCCATCAGAATTACATCGGATTGTATGAAATATAATGTTTCTAATAGTAAAGAGGTCCCTCAGAATTGTAATTTTAAACGAGTTTAACGAAATCAAGCAATAAAAAATTAAACCAGCATCATAATACAAATTAACTTTAGACAATATTTACTCAGAAAAAAGTTGGACCTCCCACCCATCCCCCTCTCCCGAAAAAGGAAACTTAGGAAGGTCCGATTACTTACATTCTGGTCATCAAATTACGGGATCGGCATACCATTTAAGTTTTTTCACTTTCGTTTTAATTTCAAGTTAAAAAGGGGGCGTATTTAATGGCAGACCAGAAAGAAATGAGCAGAGAAGATGTTTCAAAATGTCCAATCTGTTTCGAACAGCTTAAAACACCGCGTGTCTTGCCCTGTACGCATATGTTTTGTCACGGTTGTGTCTCTTCCCACATTGTATCAACCTGTCAAACGAAGGAGTTTCCAGTGGGATTTCACTGTCCGGTTTGTCGAGAATTTGTGCCTGCTCCTAATTTCTCTTTAAGTTTCAAAGACTGGAGTAAGCATTTACCAACAAAAAGACTACTACAGGATTCTTTCAGTAAGACAGAACGTATAAAGGTATGTGCTGCTTGTGAGAGAGAAAACGAGACGGAAGGGGCAGATAATTATTGTTTGTCTTGTTGTGAAGCACTTTGTGATAATTGTACCAAGTGTCACAGAAAAAACCGTGTATCTCGCGACCACAAGATTTGTCTTCTTGATGAGGTTAAAAGTGTGCCAAAGTTCGCAAACATCCTTTGCAAGAAACACAAGGGCCGATCGATAGAGTTATTTTGTAATGATCATGAGGAAATTTGTTGTACAATGTGCTGTAGCATCGAACACAGAAAATGCGAAAACGTGGAAACCATCGAACAGAAAGCAGAAAATGTACGAAAAAGTGGATTAGTACGACATTTGATAAATGACATCGAGAAGTTTGAAAGAAAACTTTCTGAGGCAAAAAACGAAGAGGAAAAAAATATCACAGAGATGGAAGATCAGGCAGATGCAATAACAGGCAGAGTCCGTAGTTTGAAAAACAAAGCTATTCAGAATCTTGAAACTCTGGAAAATGAATTTCTTGATAATGTTTCCACTAAAACTAATAAGTGCAATGAAAGACTAACAAAGAGTTTACAGACGTTTGACGATATCATTCAGTTTTCGAAACGTTGTAGAAAAAATGTAGAGTCCGCCACAAATTTTCAAGATGTCAATTTTTTGACAGAATATTTTGAAGCCCAAAGGACATTGCAATATTTTTTGAGTAAAAATGTAGAAAAATGTGAGTTTAAATTGCAATTGCAACTAGCTCCTGATTTTATTGCACTTGCAAATCTCCCAGTAATTGGTAGAATTGAAGTTAAAGAAAATAAGGAAAGTTTAGTACACCCGTTTGATGTTCAAAACTTTAACCTGGAATGGAGTCAGGAGATACATTTATCGAAGAAAAGCGTTCGTAGTGCAATGTTTCTTTCTAACACTGATGTGATCTTTCCTTTCCATACAACTGACACTGCAAAGAGGTATAAGTACTCTGCTCTCAACGACAAGTGGGTTCCGAAAAAAGAAATAAGCTTTCCACACAAAATATTTGATATTCAGCAAAATGGTGGTTTTATTTATGCATCGTGCCCAGAGAATGGAGCAATTGTTGTTCTAAAAGCGGATGATTTTCAGTTGATAACTACAATCTTTGTTGGTAAAACTTGTTATGGAATTTCATTTAGGGAAAATGTTATGTATGTCGCATGTTATTCGTCCATTTTAAAGATGGACACAGATGGTAATAAGTTAGGAAGTTATCCCTTAGGTGGTGGTGTTAATTATGTTGCAGTCACAAAGGACAAGCATATTGTTTTTAGCAATGAGGTGCAGCATACTGTGACATCCCTCACAGATAAGGGTGATTTAGTCTGGAAATATAAACACCAGAGGCTAAATCATCCGTGCGGTCTTCACATTGATAGTGATGATTTAATCTATGTGGCAGGAAAAGATAGTCACAACATTCATATTCTACGCAATGATGGGGCTATCCTACATATTATTAAGAATATTCATAGCCCCGTATTCTTCATGTTGAACAATGCTAGGAATATCTGTTGCTGCGTAGGGATACATAGAATATGGTCTTGGGACACAAGCATTAAGATGTACAAAATTAAAAAATGAATCTTTTAACGTACAATTTTGCTGTAGTGTCTGATTACATAACCTTTATTGTATCATATTCAATTATTCATTTGGACATTGAAGGAAATGGAAATCGAGAGGTGGTCCTGCAATACATAATAATATCATTATCATAATGTCAACATTATATACACTGTAAATATACAATGTAAATAAAAATGAATTCAGTTTTCTTAAAATATGTACACGTCAAATACAGCTAGTTTTTCCTTGTAATGCATTTTCAGGAAAAGGTTTTAAAAACATATAAACTTTTAACAAATAAATCAGAAAATGGATTTAAAACCATTTATCTTTTACATTCAAAATGTTACCAAATAAGCGTGTTGTTGACGTGTGTGTAATAATGACAACCTGATTATCTTTTTCTATATTTATACACCTATTCAGTTTTCTCGACACAGAATACAATTTTTATTTAATCTTATAACTGTAGATTCCTTATTTTTTGCAAGTACTTATTATCGCGAATGGGCTACTCAACGTCAAATCGAGAGAATAATAATTCGCGAATGGTCGATTGATCAAGAGATTTTATACAGATTTCAGCACAATAAAAATAAAGTCGAGTAATAATTTTATTTCGAGTGTGGTGCTTCTCGCTAAATTACGCGATAATTAATTCCAAGCGTATATTTAGGAATCTACAGTATGTTGGTTATGGATAACCATAGTTTCATTCTCATCTAAACGTTACGTATACTTGGTCACGGCTGTCAGACCGGTTTGTACAATTTGTCGAGGTGTAAGTTGGTTCTGAGTAGGCCTTAGAAGTTAGAAGGAGTGTCCCTCAGATCTCGAAGTAAAAATGTTCCATGACCCGTGTGTTTGTTAGAAATGTCTTTGTAAATTGTTTGGCTTGTGTTCGAAAAGTTTTCCTGTGTGGACAGTAGAGTATTTTTTGAGTGCTTTGCAATTGGCAGCGGTGACCAGCTGTGTGTATATACATGTATGTACTGTACGTGTGACGTGATAGGATACTGAAACATAAGAGTGCAGCGTTGGAGGAACAATCCAAGTACTTAGATGTTAACGGCTACTGTGGACTGTGTCACAACTACTGGACATCTGTGTGTATACGAACGGAGCAATTAAAACAGTAACGTCTTTGGTCTTTGGTCACATTTATAGAAAAATCTGTTGATATTTACACGTGGCAGAGAAAAATTCGTCTGGTCGGATTTAACGATATTTTAGTCGGTGTATAGACACAATAATTATTGTTTAATTTATCATTATTTTGGTTTTTGTTATTTGTATGAGTGATGTAGGTGTGTGTGAAGGTGTGTGTGTGTTGCATGTGTATGTATGCAGATTTTTTTTTTCATTTTCTTTAGGGGCACTGTAGTAAATTTGTTTGCACGTACTCTTTGTTCTTTTTCAAAGCTTGGTTGCAGCGAGGGAATATTTCCTTGCCATTATCACAAAGTGTGATAAAAATTAGACTTTTTTAAGTTTAAAAAGACTTTTTTAGGATAAGGCTGCAAAATCAGTTTTTAAACATCCTACTTGGAGTGTTTCACCAGATATTCATATTATGCATTTATTAACAGCAATTTTTCAAAACTCTAAAACCTCTTATCTAAAAATAATTTCTCTGAAAAAAAATAAGATAAGATACTAGTAATTATAAAGATCTAGTTTAATCTTTCTATGCTATACCATATTTCAAATTAAATATATTAGAAATGAAGTATTTGAAGATAACGCACAGTACTAAAAACTCAGAAGTCCAAACAAAGAATACAAATAAGGAGCTAAGCAACACGGACCTCTAAAGCATCAGAGATAGGATCAGTTGCCTTGGGGGTGGGGGTGGGGGTGGGGGTGAACATTCCCTTCCGACCGGTCACATCCTACTTGTGTCTGTTGTAATGATTTATTGAATAAAATCTCCCTGTAGCATTTCTAATTAATATATCAAAACTTACCTATGTGTATTTTTGTACAGAGTCAATGTGCTGAATTCAAATCTTTTGTCTCAAAAAAGTCGGGTTATATATCTACAGTCTCTGGGATTTCATGTATTTAGTTTGTATACAGTACATTGTTTTATTACACCCACTGGAATGTTTTGAAATAAACACACATCACGAATAAAATTAAGACTACTAAAGCCATAATGTTTATTTTAATTTAGAAAATACTTAAGATGCATTCAATAAAGTTATCTTAGAACTTATTTAAGGAGAAAAGATACATTTGATTCTTTCACCGTTCTCTAATATTTTTTTAATTTTTGAAAAAATTCCCTAAGAACTCCCTGTGTATAAAAAGCTCTTAAACTACAAATGAGTTGCCCGCGTGGCGAAGTGATAGATTGTATGCAAAAGAGTAGCAGAGTAAAGGGTTGATCGTAACGTGATGAGTTCGAATCTCACTGTGAACGTGGAAACCTGTCTGTCGAATGAGGCTGTATGAATTGAGATTCCGTGTCGCAGCAGATGTTTGCACAAAAATGATCCCTCACTGCTCAATGGCCTTAAGTGCCGTGTTGTAGGTTAAATTTTGCAGTTCTATCGGCGAGTGATGGCGTCTTCATATGAATCGAAAGTTCTCGAGACGGACATTAAAGGTACTTGGACACAGATTTGAAGTTAATATTTTTTCTATAATATTACGACTAATATATTTTAATATCATTTCACACAAAAATTAATTAAAAATCTTATTTCGTTTGAAAGTTATTAAAATTTTAATTTTATTGGCGCGTTTGATTGACACATCTTTGCACTTTCACAAATTTTAACTTTATTCTTAATCCTTAGGAAAATTGACATTCTTGTTGTTTATTAATGAGAAATATCAATACTATAATCCAGAAAATTCAGAGTAGACATGTTCGAAAGCAAAACAAACACACAATATATTGTCAGTCCGTGTAGTTGTTGTGAGCAGACTTTGGCGATTAAACGCACCCGGTGAATCAAAACACCAAACAATAACAAAGCTTTCGCGCTGTTTACAAAAACTGTGTACATAACACGAGTGTGCTCGATTTGCTAATCTTTGTACACAACGGAATGACGATACTTGTGAAGGAGTTTTGCTTTCTAACATTTTTACTCTAAATAAAATTATTTTCCGGATTTAAGTTTTAATGTTTCTCATTAATACACAACAAGATTGCCACTTTTCCTAAGGATTAAGAATGAAGTTAAAAATTGTGAAAGTGAAAGGATGAGTCAATCAAACCCGCCAAAAAATTAAAAGTTTTAATAAACTTTTAAATGAAATAAGATTTTTAATTAATTTTTGTGTGAAATGCTATTAAAATATATAATTCGTGATATTATACAGAAAAAATTAACTTCAAATCTGTGTCCAAGTACCTTTAAAAAAAAAGAAACAAACAAACAACCAAACAAACAAAAGAAAGGTCACTTTATTTTCCTCACATGTAATTTCAGTTGGTAGGGAGTTGGTAGGGAGCGTGAACATCAAAACAAAAGAAAATTCGAAAGGCATTCAAAGAGCACATCCTTCAACTGACTTTACTTTGTGAATGTTAAATTATAAGATAGAGTTGCTTTTCTTATCATTTTTTCAAAGTAGCCAAGTCATATTTTGGAAAAAGTTTAAGTTTTTTTTCTCCATAAAACCTGTTTTTCTGAACCCATCTTACAGTTTTCAAAGTATCCCAATCATTTTCTTGAATTTCGTTGTATTCTGAAGAAGCATTATGGTTTACAAATTGTTATTCTCATCCCTTGGGACAAAATAGAGGTTCTGTTAAACTAGAAACCTGCAAGGTCCTTAACCTCCTTTAACATTCACCGCAGTACTCTATTCAAATTTTGGAATATGATTTGGGCGATAAGATTAAAAAAATCTATGATTTACCCTGGTTCACCGAACTCCTTTCATTTTTAAAAAAAATCTATATTTTTTATCACAGTAATTACACTTTTATAAGGTAATTGGCAATATCCTTAAGATATACAGTACTAGTAATTGAGAGCCCACAAAAAAATCTACAAAAAACATAATTTCTTGAACTCCTTTTACAGTTTTTACAGTATCCATGAAAATTTGGTAATATAATTAAAAGTGTCTTGTAGTTGTGCTGTAGGGTTTTTGGACATCTTTTTCTGTTGGAGGGAGGGATACAAATTTGAAATAGAACGATGCAAAAAACCAGATTCCTGGTTGCATTTCAAGATTTTCACAGTTTTGAAATTGTGAAAAATTAAAGAATTCAAATAAAGAACTATATGCGACATATTGCATATCTTTGCTCCCACAAAAGTTACATTTTGAAAAATTCTTGAAATGTGCTGAATTCTATAAATTGTATGAGAAATATATATTAACAGAACATATCATAGTTTCAAAGTAGTTTATTGACAATTTTTATGACGTCACAAACTAGTCCGAATTTATATCATTTTTTAGAGAGGGGATAAAGTGAACAAAATTTCAACAGTTCAAGTTTCGCTTTAAAATTTATAGAGCGCAAGTTTGCTCAGAAACAATATTTACATATTTCATTGATATTATCATTCTACACATTACAACAAAATATTGAGCCTGATCAGACCTGCGCTCGGTGACTTTTACTCAGAATATCGATGTAAAATATATATTTTTCTGTAGAAATCATGGAAATTTTAAAATTTACATCATTTTCGTGGCGTCATTTCAAACATGTGACGTCATTGCTTATTAAAATATTCAGTGCTTTGAAGTCAGCATATATCCCCCTGTTAAACAACATAATTAAAAATTTCTCCGTCAGAGTTTGATATTGGGACAAATATTGGTTATTACCGAATAAAGTTCTTTGAAACATTTGTCTGGGAGATAGACTATTTGAAATGTAAGAACACAAAAAATAAGCAAATTCATTAAGAACGGAAAAAATAACCAACTCTGGCTATTCAAACGTAGCCTGTTTTGTTTTATCATTTTGAATATGATAAGGAAAAAGACTCCATTATATAAAAGTCATGAAATATATTTAAACTTAGAAATTAGCAAAAGCAAAAACACAAATCAAATGACAGATGTTTTATCATAAATTAGAAGATAATGACCAGCAATTAGATTGCATGAAGAATAATTATAAACACAATTTATAAGTTGGGTTTGAAACTCAAAATAGTCTTAATGCCATTGAATGTCTAGATGAACTGAATTTTTAAGAATAGAATGGGTGACATAATTAAAGTACCTATTAAAATCCAGTAAGTATAGCAAATGCAGAACATAACATCAATTTCATGTTATACTTAGATAGTTCTGTGTAGTTTATTGGTGTATGGATATTTTGATGCTTTTCTTAACTTTTCTTGAAGTCTCTCTAAAAATGTAACAATACATGGCATTTATATAAAGTAGAACTTACATGTTAACCAATTTGACAGGTATATTTTTTTTAAAAATGAAATATATGAAGATAACAAACAGTATTCAAGCTCCAAAGTCCATTAAACAATACAAACTTGGAGCAGAGTAAACAAGGACACCTTAAACATCAGAGGTAAGATCAGTTGGCATGTCGGAGTAAGCATCCCCTACCGACTGTTCACACTCGCCTTTTGCAATTTGTCATGATTGGGAAATAACGGATTAATTTGTGGACAATTCAGTTTGTAAAAATGGTCTAAAAATGGTCCTACAATTTTAGTTAGCATTTGACTTAAAGCAATATGGGCTGCATTTTTGAAAATTTTACTTTGCTGTTAAAATGTATTATTGATAAATTTGTATGTAACTTAAACCTTTATGATCAATTAGTATAAAATAAAGCAGAAAAAATACTTCTTTATACAATCCAATATACAGTTTGATATAAGAAAGCATTATTTTACAGGACGACAATAATGTAATTTTCATTTAATTGAAGCTTATAAATAGTTCTTCCATCACAAAAATGAACAACAGAAGTTTACTAATGTTTTTGTTTTCCGTAATTGAAATAGTTATTTATAATTTTGCAACAAAAGAATTCTGACATGGAAGTTGCAGCTCATATTGCTTCACACTTTTTATAATAAACAAACAGGTTTCTTAAAATGATATCCAAACAAGCTTAATCGTGGAATGGATGCGGCTGTCTGTAATTTCAAAGAGACTTTTTGGTGGTAATTAATACCAAACACAGGGTAGATACCTTTGCTAAAAGGTACATTATTGAACAAATCTATCTGTTTCTTGGGAGATCTTCTGATAAACTCAATTGTACCTCTTCTCGAATCCAGAAAAAAACCAAGAACAATTTCATCCTTGTATCTTTTTGATTTACTAAGATGATAAATAGTTGATGATTTTTGCTGTTGACCATCGTGCCACGTTTGAAGACAAATGGCGTTTCTATCTTGTTGACACCTCTTTGCACAAATCACCCATCCAGTTGCTAGATACCGAATAGTTTTTCCACGGTCCACTAAATGCTGTCGGGTAAACCCTACTTCAAATATACATCCCTGCGTTTCAGTATCATAAGCGATGATATCTATAGACGCTACCACTTCAAAGTATTCAGGTAAACCAGAATACAGCATCTTGTTGAACTGGACATCCCCTATAGCACCCTTGTATTTAATAAGATTTCCCCTGTTATTTCTCCTAGTGAACTTTTCATTTACTTTGAAATTAGAAATAGTGTTGTTATCATCAGACATAAAAACCGTTCTGTGAAGAGTGGTCACATCCATTTCAAGATGGCTTGTTTTAAGAAGGGTAAGGGTAGTTTTAGCAAGTGTGGGGTTGTATATTGCAAATGCTGGATGCAAGTCTTCCCCTAACGCAATATCTTCAAACTTGACAAACCTGTGTTCAGGTATGTTAAGAGAAACCAGTAATTCTCTCTTTGAATATATCCATTGGAATATGATTTTCTTTGACACAGTAGAATTTATTTTATTTTCAGATATTGGTAGTTTCTCTATATCTTTTCCATCCGATTGAGCTATCAAACAAATATACTTATTTTCACAACCTACGGCCGCGATAGACCAAGCCTTATCATGAATACCAAGGGTCGCATCCAAATCAATTAACCCCTTCTTGGCTACTCCAACCTGAAAAATAACCTGATTGTGTCCTACATCAGTGATCACATCGAATGTAAATCCTACTTCAAACATAGAATTGTCAAGCATGTCTATTGGATTCTTGGATATCACTCCTTTAAACTTCTTTAATTGCTTCTCTTCATTTTGTGAATTTATTCCATTAATTTTATAATTTGAAAGAACTGTATCCATTTCTGAGAGATGAAGTTCTGGATGAAGGGTTGACGAATTCATGCAAAACGAGGGACCTCAAATATAAAAAAAAAATATGTGAAGTTGTAATTTGGTGTAAGCTTAATTAAAGGTAATTCCACCCTCGTATGATGTCATAGGTTTTTGCAAAAACTGTTATTTGTTTAAATTCATACTTGATAGAACAAAATCTTCTGGACGAATGCTTTTCAATGGGTGTACTGATAAATATTATTAGATAAAAGAATTTTAAAAATGCGTATTTTTTTATGTAACCAATTATTTAACCTTTAAAAATGTTGACAAGGGCAATACCTCCTTCTCAAGTCTCTTCATTCAGGCATTTCGTCGCTGCGCTTCCAAAACCTCGTAAGTCAAAATATGCGCGAATTTTTTTTCCCCTATTTTAGAATTGATACCCCAGCCTCCATATACACTCAAAATATCGTAACTCTACGCCAATCAGAAGTCATAAAATTATACATGTGACAAAACCTCGTAAATCTATTGGTTGTCTCAGCTTATTCCAAAATATCGTATGTCAAAAGAGAAAAAACATTGAAGTTGCAGATGACTGAAAATACAGGTAAATTGTCACTTTTATTAAATATTTTGCTCAATTAATAAATTAATATGCCATGAATATGCTTCTTTACTACATGTACACGCTGAATTCAATTTAACAGTGTAAAAGAGAAGAGATATCGTCTGATCAGCAACGAATAAACGATTTTTCCCCTGTTTTTGACTTCGCAAAGTTTAGGAAATAAATCTATGTCATTTTGATATCATCGTTTATATTTTTAATGCTTGTTAAAATCAATAAATACTTCATTCAAACTTTTTTTCTGCAGATACGAGGTTTTGTAATTTTAACTTGAATGAATAATACGTGACATACGACATTTTGAAAGAACCTTTGATTAAGTTGACAGTCATTTTCAAATTAGATAAGTATGTTAATATAAGGTTTTGGTATGTATCCTATTAATATAATAAAAATGCGAGTTGTATTTTACATTTGAAGGTGCCAAATATTTTTTCTGTTAGTCTATAACAAATCAAACCATATGCTCGTATTTTCACTTTTGTAATTTTAAAATCTAAATAACGATTTTTTAGATAAGAACACAAAAAATAAGCAAATTCAGATTCTGAAGAGGAATGGCCTGAATGGACTTGTTTTGAGTGTCATCGCGTTGCAGTGAACTCTGGTTGCCTTGATTTGCAAATGATTACAAAGGAACATGTAATACTTGTTGATGTAAATGGAGAAAAATGGGTGCGGTGTATATGTAATAAGAGATTTCATTTGAATTGTACAACAAATCTTCCTAAAAGCGTCAAGGAATCAGATTTTAAAGACATATATATTTGTGATTATTGTGGTTGGTTTATGATTGGGGCATACGATTCGGAAAATGCAACAACCTTGTAAATGGGGAAGAACTTACACAGATGTCAACACAAAAGTACATCCAATTCAACCGGTTGTATCACTTTTACAAGGTAGAGAACGTGGAGATTACTCGAGAAGAGGCCAGCAATTTCAATTTATAGAAAATATTTATTATTCCTGGTTTCCAGAAACAACACCAAGAGCAATAATAATTGAAAGACAAGGTAGCGATTACAAAAAACTTGAATTCAAATTTCATCCTAACTGCAAGAATGGCTGTTAATTTGCCTCTATCTCGTGGACAGCTTCTTTTGCAACTATCTTTAAATAAAAACAAGGAAATTAGTCATACAAACGAATTTAGAAATTTTCAAATCCAGGGATCGGTTGTTACAGAATCAGTAGACGAGAATGAAAAAGATCAACGTGATGAAAACGATAACATGCAATATGAAAACGATCTTCACAATGAGTCTGATGATGAAATGCTGTATGATAGTTCTGATGATCCAGTTTGGCAGCCGAAAAGAAAAGAAATGTTACAAAGCAGCTCAGACAGCGAATCAGATTGTAGCAGTACGCGTAAAAGAAAGAGAAGAAAAACGATAAAAATCAAACAGATCAAGAAAAACAAAACTGTTACTAGTAATTTCACGAATAAATCAGTCAATGATACAAATGCAAAAGTCAATAATATTGGTGAGGAAATCGTAAGAACTGATAAAAACCAAGGGGCTCCTTGTAACATTTCCAATGAACCCATTAACGACGAGCAGATTCCATTTGAAAGAGAAGTGATTCTTGGGGAGCAGAGTCAATCAGAAACTGTACCTCCTGAACAACTGCAAGTAGACCAAAACAACGAGTCGGAACATGAACAATCAGATCCTGAAACTCTTGATGATAGACAAGAAATTCATTCAGAGATGGCCAATGACATGAGAACCGCACAGGAACCTAAGAAAGATAGAAAAAGAAACCCAACAGACTGGGAGAAAAATAAGCAAAAAGCATTACGAATGCAAGGAAAAGGCTATAAAGGGATGACGAAAATTTCCGGTCACTATAAATTTACAGTAGAGAGACCAGAAAGAGTGATGAAAGAAAGAAAGTGCTCAAGGAATTGTCAGAACTGTTCTTCGATAGGCGAGGAAGAAAGAAGAAGCATTTTCAATCAATTCTGGAACAATATGGACTGGGATCAGAAAAAAGTTTACATTTCAACGTTGGTGGATGTGAAAGGTTGTAAACAGAGGAAGCAAGACAAAGATATAAGCAGGCGTTCTAGATCTCTAGTTTATCATCTCAAACGAAACCATGAAAGGGTTCCAGTTTGCAAAGCCATGTTTTTGCTTACCTTAGGCATTGGTGAAAAGACCGTTTATTCGTGGATTGATAATGCAGATAGGGGAATTCCAAAGCCACCCACCCAAAGACAGATACAAAGTCGAGCCCCAGAAAAGGTTTCTTTTGCTAATGACTTTTTGAAACAACTACCAAAGATGCCATCACATTATTGCAGATCATCTACCTTGAAACAGTATTTGGAACCAACTTTTAATTCCTTCTGTGAACTCTACAATGAATACATTGAAAAGTCCAAACAATGTAACCAAGCATTCCTGTCAAGGAAAACGTTTACAGAAGTATTTGAAAGCCAGAACCTCTCTTTATTCAGCCCTAAGAAAGATCAGTGTGATACATGTTGTGGCTTTGAGACAAAAAATATATCAGAAGAGATCTACGCGAAACATTTAGAGATGAAGACAGCAGCACGCACAGCAAAAGAAATTGATAAAGATAGGGCACTCAATGAAGACAACCTGAAAGTAATTGTTTTTGATTTGCAGGCCCTGCTACTTTCCCCTATGTTGAAAGCAAGCTCTATGTATTACAAAAGTAAACTAGGTTGTCACAATTTCACAGTATTTGATTTGTGTACGAAAGAAGTGACGTGCTACTTTTGGCATGAAGCGGAGGGCGATTTATCAGCAAATGCATTTGCCTCATGTATCGCTGATTATGTAGATAATCTTGAGGAAAGAATCGAAGAAGTCATCATGTACAGTGATGGATGCACTTATCAAAATAGGAATGTTGTGTTAGCTAACGCCTTATTAAAAATATCACATGATAAGAACATTCGAATTGTTCAGAAAATTTTGGAGAAAGGTCACACGCAGATGGAGGTAGATAGCGTTCATAGTGTAATTGAGAGGAAACTTCGCAACAAACCAATCTATATTCCACAAAATTATGTCGACATCATGAAAGCATGTAGGCCATCTCAGCCATATACCGTGAAGTATTTGACACATGACTTTTTCAAAGATTTCACCACCTTGAATTACTACCAGTCGATTCGACCTGGAAGCAAAGCTGGCGAACCTACCGTTACCGATCTCAGGGTGTTGAGATACCTACCTAATGGTACAATAGGATACAAGTTGCATCATGACGGGGATGAATTTATGGAATTTCCAAGACGGGCTAGAATTCGGTCACCCTCAGATGATGTTGTTGGAAATTTATACCAGCGACGAATCAAGATCAAAGAAGCAAAATATGGGCATCTACAGGAACTAAAAAGAGTGATACCCCTCGACTATCACCCTTTTTATGACAACTTGCCACACCAATGAGAATGTCAAACTTAACTGACAGTTGGCCACACTTTAATGAGAATGTTGTACTTACCTGGACTTCAATTTCAATTTTTTTTAATTTATGTTGATTATGATTTTATTTTTCCCTACAGTAAAGCTATACTGTTTATTTGTTCTAAATTGTAGCATTAGAAATAAATTTTTGCAAACACATAGCATGTTATCATTATTTCATGTTTGGAATGAATTTTACACGGCGAATCCTATAGATCATAAAGGTTTTCAATTCATGAACGGGATGAAAAAGGAGAACATGAACTACTTAGGGTGATCTCATCTCTACTTTGTATAATTGAAACCGTTATTTATCAATTATGGGGCAAAAATAATTTATTAATATGTAAAAACGATATGTGACAAAAGGTCGTAAGTACCAGAAAAAATACAAAAATAGAGACAAATCATCGTAAGTCCGCTATGATCTGTACTATGCACAGTAGATAAGATTGCAAATCTTCATCTTCAAAACAATGGCTATTAATCATAAATGTGAAAGCAATTTTGATATGTTACTAAAAGGAAACAAATTGAACAGTTTTTTGCCTCTTCTGAAAATTATCAATTATTGACTTACGAGGTTTTGGAAGCGCAGCGACGATTTGCTTTATTGTACTTCTAATGTAAAATAGTTTCACTGATATTCACAATTCAAAAGTATCTTATAAGTAGGAAGTATTTAGGAACTTTCAGCATCAGAATTATGCATTTAAACCAGTTTTTACATATTTTTCATTAAACTGTTTACAACAAATGTGCAATTTTATTTGTTGACATGTACTTCTGTTTAATTATGTCTCCCATCTTTAATAATAAGGCGACCTATACATTTTTTGTAATAATTTGAAAATTTAAAGTTTATTATATGAAAATAAATGTAGTTTTGGTACTTTGAACCATTAGGATTGTGAGGGTGGAATTACCTTAAAAAGCAAATCAAAAACAACAAGAAGAAAGTCTAGAAAGTCTAGAAAAAAATCTATTTACAACACAGAGTTAATTTTCTTGTGTTAAAATTGAAAAAAATGGAATGCAAGTGTTCCTTCGCCATGCGCTTGGCAATTGATGTGAAAAGTGCGGCTGCTTTGGCTGAAACCTTAAAAAAACCCGAGGCCTCATGTCATGGTACACAGCCAATTGTGCCTAACGTTAATTTAACATGAAAATAACATTAAGCTAACATCAAGCTAACGTTAATTCAATGTTAAGTGAGATTAACACTAAATTAAAGTTACACAATTGGCTGTGTAGACGTTGTCACGATAAAGACCCTACACTGCTCATCGGCCGAGTAAAGGTAAAAATTTTAAGCCCTTCACCGGTATATGCAAGGTTACGTCTCTATATGAGTGGAACTTTCTCGAATGGGACATAAAAAAACATACAATCAATCATTTTCTTTGTTAAGAAAAATACACAGATGATTTCCAAATACATACACTGTAATAATGACTTATCTTACATAACACTGAATATAATTTTTAGAAATCTATGCATGTACACTTACAGACAACATTTGCCGTTCCTTTCATCCTCTTGTTGACCAGATGAAGCAGAAGTAGAAAGGCCGCAAAGATTGCTCCAGACCACAAGGAACACATTATCTGTAATATATAATAGAATAATAAGATACTGCTTACAAAGATAGAGATAATCGTCTGCGTGGCACAGTGGTTTGGATGCAGAGTAAAAAGTCCTTACGTCTCGTGGGTTTGAATCCCACCGGAGGACAAGAGGATTAGACAGAATAAACCGATGTCACGTGTCGCAGAGGGTTGGCACGAAAGAGATATCTCACTGCTCCATGGCTCTGAGCCAAGTAAAGGCCTAACATTGCAGCTCTCCACGGACAAATGTTGGTCTCTCAATGAGAGAGAGAAATCGTCGAAGAAAAAGAATCGGGCGAGAGGGGGAGGGGATAGGCGAGTCATATGCCTACGTAAGGGAAGGTAAAATATCAATTAAAAATTCTTACAAATTCCACCTTTTAATAAATTCAAGAATTCTTTATAACCAATGCATTCAGTTAAGATAACACCTGAATCAATTGACTTAGAAATTGAATGCAATTAGCCCACCAAAATGCAACAAGTTAAAGTAACAGTAAAATGATAGAAATCGAATGTTAAAACTATGTTTTTTTTTTTATGTAGAATGGGTCTTCGTTTCATTTCTTTGTAAACAAATATTGAAAGGGTATGGAAGGATGTTTCTCTCACCATTTTCAAAAAAAAAATGGTACGAAGACCCACTCTATATAAAAACATTAGTCAACCTACTAAAATTCCGGAACAATTTTTTCTAAATTTCAACCGGAACTAAAAAAAAGTTCTTAGAATGATTCGAACACTCGCGACAAACAACAGGTTGAAATTTAGATAAATACAATATATTTTTTCACTAAAACATAAATAAATGAATAAAACAATAAATTCATTTAAGGTCAACAGATATATTTCCTATAATAAACAAGTTATCAATATATATAACATTTTAAATGCATTCAGTTCGAGATTACAATACACAATTGAAATGTAAACAATCATGTGTAGACCAGCACGATATGGTTATTGTTTAACACCAACAAAAGCTCTATATTATCATTAAGTACATAATCAACTATAAACATATAATTATGTAACAATAAACACGCAGTGTATGAAAAGGATCACATGTTAAAAGATATTGTAACGATAACCGCAATGTTTAAAATATAGATATTGTCATTCCATTTGGACAATGCTGTACAAAGTTTGAATGTTTAGGTAAATCGTACAACTATGAAATTTCCGATATGCTTACAAAACCCGTGTGGGCATATGACTCGCCTAATCCCCCCAGATTCTTTATGAAACAAACAAAGATAAATAGACATGTCATGACTATAGCAGACATTCTATAATGTCAATATTACTGAAAATGGTAAGTTATTGAATAAAATAAATCTTTTCTAGTATTTTATTTCTGAATGTGTTTATAAAAAATTAATCTTTGTGGTATTGGATGCATATCAGATACTGCACATCAATTAACACTCGCATCCAATGGGTATCTATATTTTGGAGACATCGATGGATAGACTGAAATAAAATATTAAACAATAATCATGCTCAAAAGCAAATTGAAATAATACAAATTAGTAGTTGAGCAATCAGAGATGTCTTAAAACCCTGGAAGTGGAATCATCCCCTGTAAACCAGACACACCCGCTGTTAACAATTAAGGAAAAAATACATAGACATAAAATACTTTATATATAATATGCTTTGAAACAATACAATCATGTATTTAAAAGTGTATATTGCATTACGAAACAAGAAAACTTCCAGTCTCCTGTATTTGGAACTCAGATGAGTTATTTGCTTCGAAAACATTTCAGTTCTTACCTCTCCAAAGTAGAACGACGAGGCTTTACGAAGACTCTAAAAATCTCAAATCATGTAGAATCTTTCACAATAATATGTCATTACGTGAAATGTAGGCAATGATCATGAAAGATTGGTCACAATGACTGAAGATTTGGCTATTATCCATATCTATATACGTCCTGAACTATGAATTTAGCTGACATTGGTTTTTCCGGACTTTAAATGGTTTATTCTTTAAGGTAAGTCAAGGACTTTTAAAGTATTTAAAACAGTCTTGTCAATTCTTTAATGGTATTTAATTGGCTTTTTTGCATTTCTCTTACATGTATGACATCATGCTAAAAAATAAGTAAGTTTTTTTAACATGACAAATATTTTAAAGATATTTCAATATTAGTAGAAAATTTTGATAGAAAAGAAATAGTAAAAGTTTGTACTTATAAAAAAAAATTAATAAGTTGGAATTTTGTCAGCGATCTCATTGAAGACGTATTTTTTTCAAATCGAAAGTAAAAATATTTAAATCTTACTTGTCATGCATAAATATATCCGCAAACGATTAAAAAAACAGCTCAGTTCATTTGTCTACTCATATATTTGATTTTGACGTGGGTTGAGCTGTAGATATTAGATCAATTTAATATATATTATTTTAGCACTGTGAGCTTGATTAAAGAAGTCTTAATGGGAGGTGAAGTGTTTACTAATTTTCCGCGAGTTGAAGAAGAGGATGAGTAGTAATGATAGAGGTAGGCAAAATAAAAACATACATTATTAAAAGACGAATATTGTTCTCTTTTTACTTCTTTTTTTTTCTCTACTGAAATAATGAATGGGATAAAAGCAAGTAAAAGAATAAAATTAAAACCATTTGGTGTTACTTTTTTCCAAAGTCCTTGAAATTTAAATTGTGTAAGGAGACAAAGAGGAGGAGGAGCAACTACTGAAACATTTGATTGAAAAAGGCAAAAAATACAGAAAGACCTATCGAAGTTATAAATCTGAATATCTCAAGACGGAGATCAAAAGCAATTAGAATACAAAATTTCTATCGGTTAAGCAGTATTTGGCAAAACAAATTGTTTTAAGATTTTCAAATATATATACTTGTCAAAATTTCTAAGTCCCCACTTTTGTTTTTTCAAAAAGTTAAATACCTTAACAACAGTGTACTAGTTGCTTACAATTTTGCCCTTAATTTGCAATACTTACCTGTCAAGGCAAAAAAAATGTAATCGAATGTGTAATTACTCGACCGTGACCGTTTTTGTTAAAAAGCATGAAGTTCGAGTTCCATATGTTTTTCGGGTGTATTCTTCATAATATTTACTTCCATGTGTTCTCCATCTTTAATTGATAACGAAAAACAGAAAAAGTTTGATTAAAATGCGGATTATGTCCACACAACAATGTGAAAGTGAAGTTGAAATGGCCCAAGCTGCTCTTAGTTAACGAGAGTTCTGTTTCCTTTCACTGTATGACTTTATTTTACTTAAAACCTTTATAGTTATCGCCCGAAAAACCTACAAAGCACACCTGAATACCTTCTAATCATTAGAAATCGCTAGATTTTTAACAAACACAACAAAATCACCCTAGAGTTTAACACAACAAAATCACCCTAGAGTTTATCTCACAAAATCAATGGAACCGGAACCGGAAGTGCCCTCCCCTCAATGTCAACCTGGAGGATTGGGGTACACAGTATGTAGTAAGATATTATGTAACTTTTGTTAGCAAGGCATAGGCACTTTCGGTAAGCCCCCTTGTTATCCTAATCACAACCCTAACTAACTTGTATGAAAGAAGATAAACCGGAGTTTGAGACAGTTTTTCCAGCAGAATCTCGCGGAACTAGAGGACGGTTGTCTTGCTGTGAATTCGTTTGAATGGAGGATTATGCAGTATTTGATGTTGTGAATTTTTAATTTTCGGGTGCCTTAACATTTCTGCATATTGTGTTAAAGTGCTTCAATAAACTCAATTAAGTGAGAAAAAAATGTATTGCTATTTTTTTTATCCTGATTACTTATAAAATTATACTGTTAAAATAATTCAATATAAGAGCGGTGTGAAGCGCCTTGGGACTTAAAAATTTTGACTAGTATATTTTGGTTTTCAGTTGATGACGATTTGCAGGAATGGTGGATCCGTCGTGTTTTTGGAGGAGTGACGTTTGTTATCTCCCTTGGTATAATGGCCCTCGGGTTATTCATACAGTATCAGGCACGTCATCAAACCGGTGACGTCATTTGTAAGAGTTCTTTCAGCTATGTATGATTTTTATCAGTAAATTTTCGCTTGAAACTTTTTAGAATAGGCAAGATGCTGTAAAAAATGAAAATTTATCACAATTAATAAGGTAATTGATTTACAATTTCTTTGACAAGATCGATTATAAAATAATCAAATATCATTAGGCTGCTACATATTACCCGAATTCTAAGAGCAAGAAAGGTTTTCCTCTTAGTCAAGAGTTCAACGGTTCAAAAGCCCTTAGTTCATTTATTAATCTCAATCAGTAAAAGTGTGCGAATAATCATTCAAAAAATTAACTTTTAAATAATTTCTTTGATATTACACGGTATGCAAGAAGCTTAACAAGATAATTCATGCAAAGCACTTCTTATCCGAACTTTATTTGAATAATATAATTATTTAAGGGAGAGGGCTAAAATAGACTTTGCCTGCTGCCCAATCCTATTCACGTTTATTTGGGAATAAAATTTATATATAAAAAAAAATATTTCAGTGATACGATATGTTTTTTCTGTCAGGTCCAGAACTATTTCTTGATGAGTCTACAGCGCATGGCGATCTGGAGATTTCCGAAATGGGTACAGTGGTTTCTAACACAAAACGCTATGTTAGACGACACCGTTTTAATAGATACCATGGCATAGCAGGCATGTTTTCTTTGGGTAACGCGGAAGACTTCGAACTTAGTTTTGGCGTATTTTTTGAAATTAAAAAGAGGATTAAAAGACAGGACATTTCGCTTTTCGAAATCGCTTTCGCCGAAAAGAAATCTATTGAAAATGACGTGTTAAATTGGCCATTGAAAACGGTCCTGAGTATAAAAGGAAAGAAATGCAGAGATAAAAACATCTGTATAGCCGTGGAGGAAAACGGTATGTCGTACAAGGAAGTTGAAATATCTAAGTCGTACAGCGATATCTCGTATATCGGAGTGATAACAATACTTAAAAGAAATGAAAATATAAATATCTACTATTATGACAGGACACAGCAATGTAATTTGTTGTTAAAGCTCTCGGAGATACATATTTTCAACAAGAATTTGAGATCCCTTTATGGAATAATGGAAAATTCACAAAATGCCAGGGTAACTCTTTCTATAGTCAGAGATGCTAAAAATCTCGAGCGCTTTGACGAGATGACCAGTCATAAAGATGTCTTCACTTCGGGTGATGGACATGCAATTTCAAACTTTAATGCTGGACCCAATTTCAAAAGAGGTGGCAGGCATGAACAGGCGTATCGTGGCGTTCTTGCTGATGTCTCTTTCAAGCAGAATGATAACAAGACAGATCAAATAAAACCATATTACTTTGAAATTCAATTTCTTTTTGATGTTAATTTGCGAGAATTTGATTCCAAAGACACAGTGTTTGAATTCGGATTTGCTCCAAAACACCTCAGAGAGAAACACTCAAATCTAAAATATCATTCGGATGCTCTTTTGGCAACAGTTTCTAGATGCACAAAAAGACTAAGACTTTGCATATCATACTGGCAAAATGGGACCGAACATAAACTTAACCATCCTATTGGCATATACGAACCTAAATACGAAAATTTCAATCTCACTTTTGGATTAAAAATCGATGTAACTGGAAATGAAGCAAGTGTTTATCATATAGGTTCTGACAATAAGGACATACTACATACATTTATCAGTGTCTCGTTTACACGTCCTCTGTATCCAGTGATTGGAGTAACAGACAAATCCTTTGTCAAGGCGCGTCTTCTGACAAAAACATTTGTTACCAGGGTTTATAGCGTTTTTGGATTCTTTACGTATCCTCCTATATGTGATATCTGACTGTTCTGTTTAACAGTTCTGTTGGGTATTTAGAAAGTCAGCGATGTTAAAATTTCCTCAGTGTACGTTTATATATATATGCCGGGTAGAATTTGCTAAAATACTCGAACAATGTCGAACAATTGCTCTCTTGGGGGGGGGGGGGGGCAGTAAATACGATTTTGAATAGAGAAAGGGGGTGGCGTTATGACATTTGAAGGCGTCTACACGACAGAGCAACCTTCTGCATGGACTAGAAATTATTCACATAAAATGATTCAAAGAGGGATGGGGGAAATAAAAAATATATATCCTAAAAAGTACGTCTCATTTTTTAATCAGTTTCAGCAATTCCTACCCCACAAGCATGAAAGATTATCAACCAAAATTAGAGATTTGTACAATGTCATAATCTTCTTATTAAAATCACAAAACTAGAGAAGTATTTAAAATTATCTTCCTCTTTGACATACATAATGTTAATTTTAAAATAACAATTGATAAAATTATATAATTTATTTTATAAAAGACTGAAATGTGAAATTGTCTGCATAACAGAAACTTAATGCATACATGTCATGGAATACGAGTTCATAGAAAACATTTCATTAAGAAGAAACATTAATAAAATCTGAATTAAATGTGTGGACTTAATGTAGACTACTTATACCCTTCATTTTTTGAATACTTACAACTTCTTTATTTAAATAAGAAGATGTTGAAAAATATCGAACACTAGTCAAGCTGCACAGAAAAGATTACAATGAAGAATATGGAGATAACGAACGGTATTCAATATCAAAGTCCATAAAACAATACAAAATAGGAGCAGATCAAACACGGACCTCCGAAACATCAGAGGTGGGATCAGGTGCTATAGAGGAGTGAGCATCCTCTGCTGACAGGTCACACCCGCCGTGTGCTTCTTGTCATGATCGGGAAATAACGGAAAAATCCGTCGTCAATTCAGTGTATAAATAATGGACTAACAATTCGTATGAAAAACCTCAGCCAGTATTTGACTCAATGATAAATTGTATTTGCTGACAAGGTCATGGTATCGACCATAGAACTTACGAAATGTTGACTTTAAACGAGACTGCTGATTGTCTTGTTTCATCAACTTGTTTGTCAATAATTTACCTCCTTTTAGAAATTGTTTATGTAAACTCCGTATGCAGATGATGAAGGTATATTGCTGCACAGGTAAGGGAAGTTGACGGTAGCAAGTTAAAGTCATCACGTTTATCATAGAGCTTGGTTGTTAGATTACCATTAGTGTCTTTTTAAAGTAAAATATCCAAGTATGAAAGAGATGTGTCAGACTCTGTGTGAATAAAAGAAAACAGCGCAGCAGTATTTTCGATAAAGAAAACTAGTACGGGTATTTACAACACTATCATATAACAATGAGCGAAACTAATTGATATAATATACAAATAACATCAATGACACAACAAAATGAACCGTAGATTCGAATTACTATATTATTTTTCGATCGTCCTACCGTTTGATTAAGGTTTGTTCAATATTCAATTAAATACATGTTCATGTTATTATGTTTGTTGGCTAAGGTCTGTCCTTACTAGCTTGAGAGATGATCTTCGTCTGCGTACATTTATCTTCTTGTAATGTGTCCTTTTTCCGGAGGAAGGGGGGTCTACATGTATAATTGTTTTCACATACATATAACGATGTGAAAGCTAGCCAATATTAGACAAAGAATTCTTGTCTTTCAGTTTTGTCACTCTTCAAATTTGTTTCTGATTATAAAAAAAAATCGACATCTTTTTAAAAGATGTATTGAAAATGCACTCTTATATTCTTCATCAATCATGTTGGGTATGTTGGAAAATTTGCAAATGACACTTTTCGTTTCATTCCTGGTATAATTCCATTAGATTCATTGAGTTCTAATTCTCCGTTGTTCTTTCGGTCATCGCCACTGATATTAACACAGTCATTTGAAACTACGCAATTTTCGCCTACGTCATACTCAGCATGAGATGACATTGTCTGATTGGTTGAAATCGTCATTCTTCTGGCGATGCGGAAATATCTGTCGCTCAGTCGACGTCTCCATGACTTCTTTAGATTCGAAATTACCTTTAAATTAAAAAAAACAACAACAATATTACCTGTATATTCTAGAGTTGTTGTACACGAGTTTTCTCGTTTTAAAGCAAATATAAAATATTGCATGCATATAAAGTTCCTAAATATTTTTATCAAAATTACTCTGGTTTTGAAATGCATGAACTGTTTAAAATAAGGAAACAAGAAAAAGACAAGAATTTTACCTCTCCGTTAATATAGCAGAATAAAATGGCTACAAATACTCCCTGAAAAAATAAATTTTAGTGAAAAGAGAATAATTTCATTATTATCGCTCTTTACATCTGAAATTATATGTAAGTACTAATTTCAATCTTCACAAAATACTACACAAAAACATTAATCAATATCAAAAGTATGATAAAAACACAAATAAGCACAATTCTTTATTTTGGAATAAATCGATTGTGAATCAATGCTTTTATAAAACCATTCCACATTAAAAAGAAAAAATAAAAACTTAACATAGTCTCCAAATTCTTTATTTTTGCTTTAATCTTAATTTATTTCCATTACCTGTGAGTGATCAACAATGATTGTAAATCTTTCGTATTCTATTCCACCTTCTTTGCTGATAGGAACACGGTATAATGTAACAAATAGCTGAATCCCGAACAATGGAATTAAAACAAAAGTGGCCTTCACGGCTCGCCTGTAAAAAAAAAGACAAAACAGAAATTAAAAAATAAAATACTGCTTCACATCGAATTGGTTTTATATTACTGAAAGAGGGATATAATTTGGAGTAACTGTAATTAAAATATACTGTTAGTTACTATATATAGTCTACAATAATGTACAATAATTACGGAATGTTTTACTACGGTAAATCCTTTTTCACTACAAGGAATCAGATCATTTGACTATGATTTTCAGATTGTTTCATTCAATGACCTATATTTCAAAAATACAATGTTCTTATATCAAAATGAATACTAATTATATATAAAGACAATTTAACATCAGACATATTTAATGTAAAAGATTTTAAACATTAAAATCTTTTAATAAGTGTTTAAAAGTTCAGATTCGTAGTCCATCAAAATTTTAATAATAGGAAGCTATTGCAAACTATAGTAAGTATAATTAACTACTTTTAGAAGGTGATTAGATGCCAGCTAAACAGTTGGTGCAAAATATTGTAAAATACGAAAACCCAGGTTTAAAACAATAAAGATAATTAAACAATCATCAATTTTGCTGAGTCGTGAGCTTGGGGACTCTAGGACAGCTGATTGTTATCAGATTCAGAGAATAAAATTTATGATGTTAGATTTTGATATAAAAGAGTGACTATAGTAAATGATTAAAATTTTGCTCTTAAAATTGAAGCTTCATAATAAAAAGCGCTGTCAGCAAAGCGATAAATTTAATTGTCAAGGGTCTCAGATTTTTTAATGACAAACAAGGCTATGAAAAACATACAGTCATAAAACCCCTCGTTTTTTCATACTGTTGAATGACCAGCAACACATTGTTGTGATTCATAAGAAACAATTCCCAAATCCAATATCTAATATCTTAATTGTTCATGTAATTACGTTTTGTTTAATCATTTTCTTTACAAGCACAGCAAACTGACACAGCATTTGTACAAATGTACAAACAGAAACATCTCCTTAGGTGGGTTGATATCCTCTATTAAGACAATGTATGAATTACAAAAATAATATATATCTTATAAAAATAATGAAAAAAAAAAGAATCTTTTGATGAAAGCTGGAGACCATTGACAGATTTATTTTCCTAACCATCTCTCTCTCTATCTCTCTCTCTCTCTCTCTCTCTCTCTCTCTCTCTCTCTCTCTCTCTCTCTATCTCTCTCTCTCAATGTTTGTTTTCTTTTTGTAAAAAAAAGTTTTTGAAAATGCAATGAATTAAAAAAAAAGAATAAAATAAAAAAGGACGGTATTACTAGGATTAAACAATGTACATCTGTTACTGATAACTGACAGAGGTCTATAATGTATATATTCAGAGATAAACAGTTTTAATATAAATTTGTTTCGAAATGAGATAATCCTTAATGACTTGTTAGGATAAAGAGATTGAACGGTTAATGGATAAACAATATCTTTATTTTTCAAAAATAATCTTCTAGCAATTTCCATTTAACTAAGCTAATAGTAAGCAACTTACATTTAAATGTGAAAAATTGTTTCTTTCCATTTAAAAGTGAACCATGTAATATAATCTAAGCAACAAAGAACATACTTATTTCTCACCTGAAGTTTCCGGGCTCATTTGGATGAGACTGCATCTGTGTGAGGAGAATTCGAAGGATGTTTCCAAGTATAAGTAAATTTGCCTGTAATTGTTTCAGTAAACAATAGAACAAGACATGCTATATACTATATCTATACATTTGCATGTGCTGCCGAAATATGGCCGAAATATTGCCGATTAGGCATAAAATAGCAATAATCAATCACATGTATACATGTATATATAATGAACACAAAACGATAAATGTCCGCTATTTTGTAAATAATGGCTTTAGTGGAACACAAAGAAGGTCATGAAATATCACTTTTTCACGAAATTGAATGCATTTTTGTTCCAAGTACTTGTGAACACAATTCTCAAAAAAGTTTTTCATTCTAAAGTTTTTTTTATTGACTTCTCCTGCCTAAACCACAATTAAAATACATAATACTTATTCTCTATTTCGATTAGCAAATGCAATTTGTCTTTCTCAGTACTTCGTTTTATTTGATGATTTTTCCTGGATTAAAATGCAAAGCATCCTATGTTAAAATTAAGGAGATAATTTCAAATGTTTTTTGACGCAATATAATTTTCTTTTTCATTCATGTATATGTCGTCCTTACAATACTAAAGCAAGGAGATAGTTTAGTCATTTATATGAGATTAAATGCAAAAAACGAACAGAACTATCACACTCTAGAAACCCATTGATTCAAAGTGATGAAAGTAACACATATTGAACTATATACACATGTAATTTTGAAGACAAGAATATTAATAAAAATAGACTTACCACAAGGCATATTAGATTTGGTGCATCAAATATCCACTCTAAATTTTTGTACGAATATGCCCAGCAACTGAAATTTACACAATATTAAATTAAAGCTGTATTGAGAAAAGTCTGCTGACAGATTTGAAGTTACCTGTTAATACGTCGTGTTTTTGCTTTTGATAAATCAAATTGCCTTTTGTGCACTGAAAGTAAGATTATATTTTATCTTTTTCTAAAGAATAAATTAAAAATATTTCTTTTAAAAATATTTTTTTTGGAAAAAGAAGTCCGTTACAACCACAAAGTCAAGTTAACATTTTGAAAAGAATCTGAAAAATAAATGATATTAAGATAAAAGAAATGGAACACCTGTGTAAATCTAATCTTGCCTCTTATCATTGTATATTTTCCTCAGAAGGGCGTAGATTCCAGAAAAAATCAGAGGAACGCCCCATCCAATGACGTAAATCGACGTGAGGGATCGTGGGGGAGCGAAAGCATTGTACATCAGACGTTGCAGGAATATCCCCTCGCAGAGCATCCAAGTGAAGCTACTTCCCTTAAAATAGATCTTCAGGAAGGACAGCATTTTGCACCAAAACTGAGTAAAATAATGCAAAATTTCACAATAATGACATTTTATTTTTTCAGCATATAAATTATAATTGAGCTTGGATATCTCTGAACTGATATCTCGAATATCTTGCCTTCGTCGAAGATATTTGAACTCCCAAATTCTTATTCCTTAACAATTTTACCTTGGTTTGATTGATTTATCCGGTGTGTAGAAGTATACGAGGGTTGTCCAAAAAATTCGTGGACGATGACGTTTTTGTTAAAATAAATGTTTCTCTATATATCTAATGTATATCAAAATATTTCTTATGAAAAATCAAGTCAGAAAGATTTAAATTTTATTGATGGAACTTTATCGGGGTAATTAAAGGTCGCGGATAGTGCGTACGGACCAGTCTGACGTTAAGCTAATTTCATTATAACGTCAAACACTTGGATTTTGAATTTTTGATACATGTACATGTTCACACTACTATTACTTTATTTTGTCACACTGTAAAGTGCTATGAAAATCTTTACAGATTATGATTTATTTAATTTTTTAGATTTAAAACATTAAACAATAATTTACGAGCGTCATCAATATTAACAGTTCGTATACACAGGCTGCACAGCCCAGTCTGATGTTGCGTTAAATTTATAACAACGTCCTGTAAAGAAATATCCATTTCCATCAAATAACATATGTTTTCAAATCCTTGTAGTGTCTTCGGGTTTGTATGCACCCTTGAAAAAAGTTATTTACCTATCTCAAATCTATAAACTAAATATATTCTAATAACATTGAGTTGTTTGAACAAATATTTTGTCTCTGACATCGTTTCAACCGTATTAAAACAATATTTTTTGATCGGAAACTGTCCCATTTGGACGGCCGACGTCGCTTTTTTTTGTCGAGTTTTGACACATATTTGTTAAGGTTTTTGTTTAGTATTTTCATTGTCTATATAGTAACAGATACTTAAGATATCAAATATGATTATAGCCTCTTTATTTGTATTACATATAATTTTTATTAAGCTTTGACTTGTTTTATATAAAAAAAATAATCATTTTAATCCAAAGACTTTATTTAAAAGTTTACGGCATTTTAACCTATCTGCAACATTCAAAGATCTCGATTTTTACTAAAATATAAAGTTACATCAATAAAAATGAAATCTATCTGACTTGGTTTTTCACAAGAAATATTTTGATTTACAAAAGATGTATATAGAACCATTTATTTTAACAAAACCGCCAATGTCCATGAACTTTTTGGACAACCCTCGTATTTTCGGGTTTTCATCGAGTTTTAGATGGCATGGTTTGACTGTATTATGTTGCCATAAACCATAAAGTTGTTCATGCACATTGCATAAAATCATTTTTTTATTTAGTGAACTTATATAAATATGCAAGCAAATGTTGAGGAAAATACAATGCAAATACATGTACTTGATTTATCTTTGACAAGTCTAAGAATAAACAGATTAGTTGAAATTTAGTTAATTTGTTTGTTTGTATGTTCTTTTAACGCTCCTCTCGAGATATTAACACTCATATGGAGACGCCACCCTTAGAGGGTGGAGAGCTACAAATTGTGTCCTATCATCGGCACTTAGGGCCATTGAGCAGTGAAGGCTCTTTTTCATGCCAACACCTACTGCGACAAGAGACCTCGGTTGATACGGTCTTTAACTTAAGAAAATTGTCATCACTTGAAAATAGATATACTGTCTACAGGAAAATTTTCGTCCCCGTTTTATTTTCGCCCCTTTTGTCCTTTATACCTCGGTTAAGCGAATTTTGAACGGGGAGAATTCAAAGAATACAGTATAATTTCTTAAACAATAGTGTAACTGGGCGATTTTAAGACGTGGCAGAATTGGTTGCAAGATTGAAAGGGCGAAATAAAGCAGAGTGAAAATAACCCTGTATACAGTAATTCTCTAATGAGCAGAAAAATGTATCATCATTAACATACATTTCGCTTATTTAAGCCTGACATATAATTTCTGTGACCTTTTGCATGCAGAATTGATATAAATTATAGATGGTTAGAAAAATAATGAGTACTTTAGAGACTTTTGTCCCACTTAAGCAAACCTCCCTGTGAAATCGAGGCAAATTGGTTCAGTCGCATTTTTGCAAACAAGTGAGACATAAAGCAAACCTTGCAAGGCATTTCATGATCAATTGTCCTTAATCCAAAGACATTTAGTTAAGCAGATTTTTTTTCCAAGAACGTCTTTTATTTCCGTTACATCGTGATCGTTTAAGCTAGATTAAGCATTTAAGGATTGTACAGGGGCTAGGCAACATACATTTTTCTTAGTCTCATAGATAAAACATTGTCAACATAGATATTTAAATCTTAATATCATTTTTAGAAATTGTTGATTGACACACTTCAGTATTTAACTACCGGTACATCTTGTGGACTTTTGCTAGAAATCTAGAGTACATAATGAAAACGTCCTTCTGCTTGAAAAAGACAAACATTCCCTTTCTACATAACCTTTGTAAATATAAAAATATTTAATCATGTATTGAAGAATAAATCATATAATCTTAGGTTTCAAAACCTAAAACAAAATGGATGGATTTTGATTTATTGCATAAAGTTAATTGAAATATTAAAATTCCTTTGAGAATAATACGTACTCCGTTCGCCATCAGTGCTGTCTGGAATACTTCAGAACTCTGAACCTTGTCATACGTAATCAAGATATCCCACAATCCAGAAACTACTTCCTGTATGATCAGGGACAAGAAAAAGTTTATGTGCACTCGTACTCTGTTTTGTCTTGAAAGAGCTCTGAAAAAAAGCATACGACAAACATTTCAACAAAGAAAAACTTTATTATACTTATGACTAGTATCTGAACTTTTTATGCAAAGTAAACTTTTAACTGACGTAGATAAGATTTTTTAAGCAAATGGCGATTTTATGATAGGAATATTACATATGAGAGATCAAGAAATATTTTAACTTGACTGTTCAACATCAGAACATTTGAATTTCAAGGAACCTCGTAAAACAAATTTAATCTATTTTTATTTTTTGGTTTCGATATGTCAAACATTTAATGTTTCTATATCGGTGTATCGTATCTATTTGATGAAGGCTGCATTTCTAATGACTATAGACTAATCACATGTGTTTTATTGATCGTACTTCCCTTAGGACCGAGGATTTTCCACAAAATTACAATATTTGGGCGCTGGAAGTAAAGAGGTGTTGATTTTAGATTGTTATCCGTGTTGTTTTTGTGCATGATTGTAAAACTGTCGCGTTCAATTTTAATTATTGAATGACAGTATGCCTGGAGATAATTTTTTTCCCTATTTATCAAAGGCCGATGTGAATAACTAGAGAGCTATACACTCCCAAGTTATTGGGTTTCGCCATATAGTATAACGGCAATGTTACTTTGATTTTTGTAGTATCCTTGAGTTTAATTTCAGTAGGATATTTAAAGAGTTTTATTATACCTGTTTTCAGAATTGTAGACAAGTACTAGTTTAAAAAATTGTAAAAGTCTAGTTTTTTAGTTTTTTCATATTAGTTTTGTGCTTTAATTTTATAATAATGTGAATTTCAAATAATGTTAAAAAAAGAACAAGGCTAGGCTCCTGGGTCATAAAAGTTAGACGAGTTCACTTTTGATCTTAGACTCACTTTTACAAATACATAGGAGCTATTCTAAGTTTTATGGCCCCGGAGCCAGGATAGCCGTTCAGAAATAACATTAGTTTTATTTCCTAGAGGTGTAAATTTCATGTAAATTCAAATTTCATTAAAAATAAATAAAACAAGTGTACAAAAACGCCTAACATTACTGTAGGATCAATAAATATATCATTGCCAAATGATAAATTCGGAATTTTTTTTTTTTTTACCTGGAGCACCCAACAAAGATTATCGCAATTTCTGTAACTGGTATTTTAATAAACCATAAGAAAAAAAATGTATTCTGAAATATTCCTTGTACTTATCTTTTGAAAACAGCCCTCGTTTAATTATTTCCGTTCTATATTTATTTTCAACAGCATATAGATAAAAATTACATATAAAAGTAAATCTTATTATTGTCAAAAGCTCATGGTGTTGAATTGTGTTAAAACAAAAAAACCCCACCTGTATCGTATGAATATACCGACAGCTGGCATTAGAAACAATACGCTGGCGATACTACACCCCAAGCCCAGGAACAAACTGGTCTCAATTCCCTAGTTGGAAAATACAGGTAATAAAAATTAGAAAGCTCATCTGGACGAATATATATTTTTAAACAGCGAGGCAAAGTCTCAAACAATTGTACTGATGATGTGTATTTGAGAATGAACCTTGCTCCAAAATTTTCTTTTGAAACAATATAAATGAAATGGATAGAGATAACGAACAGAATTCAAGATCAAAAGCCAATAAAACAATACAAACTAGGAGCAGAGCAAACACGGACCTCCAAACCATCAGAGATGGGATCAGGCGCCATGGAGGAGTGAGTATCCATCTCTTATTCACTCCTCCTAAAGGCATCTGATCACACCTTTGAAATTTTCGGCGGTCCGTGTTTTATGCAGTGGTCACAGGTTTTATTGATTGTAGAATATTTGAGTTTGTTCAGTGTTCGTTATATTTACATTTTGCATCTATAGTAAAAATGCTTTATGTATACTGAAAATATAAGTATCTCTTATATTATTTACAAATTGTATGAAATTTAACCTTCTTTCAAATTTTATTAATGCTTATTTAGATAAAAAAAAAATTGAGAAAAGAAATGTTTAATTTGCTAGGCACGATAAGAAAAATTGTCTCACTAAATTTTAATAATAAAATACTCGTTATTCCAATACATACGATATAGATATTGCCTTTTAGGTACTAGTTCTTTCAGAAGAATTTGCGAACATAATATTTGAATCTTTTGAAAATTATTAACAAACAGTACACAACTCTCCTAGGTATATAATAAATAATGTCATAAGGTCTATGACATACAACACAGAAATTATATGACATAAAGCTTGACTTTCTCTCATGATTTAATCTTTAATAAATTGATTACAGTTTATGTGACCACTTTTCTTCATATAGTTTCCTCATATTCGAACACTGCATGATAAATGTATGGTAAAGAATCAGTATACCAGAGTAAAATTAAACGCTTCATGAAAGCTGCTGTAAAACTCGTTAAGAATCCCAAAGAAATAGTCACCGATATATGTGAAATTTACAGCAGTCAATGTATGTTTTATAGACACATGGGCATGTGGATTTAAATGAACAAAAAAAAAGCTTAGTACTCAATGCTCACCCTATGTTTTTAAAAATGACTGAAAACGACACCATGTAAGAATATCTAAACAATTATTTATTTTTAAAATCTAAAGTTGGTTATCAACATTTGTCTGAAATTCAAATAGATAATGAAACTTGAATCCATTGCTCTAAACCCCCAAAACAAATTTACAATAAGATGCACTTGACAAAAACAGTCAAGGTTTGAGAAAAACTATGAATTGCAAAAGCACAAAAACAGTTTCATATGCCACTTTCTTAAATATTAGTGATATTATTGTTCAAATTCTTATTCGGGGAGGCAATACAATTGCTGGAGAAGTTTTTTTTGCTAAAAGGTTTACAGATTTTCTCATACCCACTACATTATATTTCCTCATGACAGCGTCCAAACAAACACGCCATGAAGGTTTGAGGGGTTTTTAGGAAAAACGGAAAAATAATTTATATATTTTCCAAACTTGAAAAAACATCTTTAATCCATCTTAACATATTCCAGTATACGCTTAATTGATGTAAATTTTAATTAAAAGAGAATATTTAAAAGAAATCATTAAGGCTAAATCATTGAATAGCGTTTTTCGATTCTTTCCGACCACCGATGACATTATTTATTGAACGTCCCTCGTATAACGTATAAAAATACACTTATATCATACATGCATTTAGAAAACCTCATGAAGTAATTAGAAAAAAAATCTATACCTGTTTGTCAACACAGTGATGGTAATCAGTCTTTTTTATCCATTCAGCTTTAGCTGTACAGGTTTTTACCGCACTTCCTACAAGAAAATTGGAAAATTACATTTTTTTAAAAACAGATTTTCTCATCATACTTTTTTTTCAGAAATCGTTTATACACAGTTTAATGCCATCTGAGCGGTAATTGATGAAATATAAAGATAAAGAAGAGCAATCAAATTCAAAAGTCCATTGAAAAAATACAAATGTGGAGAAGAGCAAACATGAAACTCAAAAGTCCAATTAAACAATACAATTTTGGAGCAGAGCAAACATGGATATCTGAAACATCAGAGAAGGGATCAGGTGCCATAGAAAAGTAAGCCCCCGCTCCCCTTGTCGATCGGTTATATCTGCCTGTGCTCCGTGTTATGATGAGGGAAAAATCGTAGACAATGAAGTGTGAAAATAATGACCTTAAATTTGTATGAATACTTATTCAACATTCAAATAGATGTTATATTTTATTTCCTGACAATGTGATTGTATCGAGAATAGAATTTCCGAAATGTAGAAAATAAATTGATATCATTATTCAACAAGTTGCTTCGTTTCAAAAAATAAAATTCTGAAAGTATCAGCATGAAAATGGCAGATACCATTTGAATAATTAATATGAGTAAGACGATATTCAAGATGTCAACATTATTCTTTCACAAGTTAATATTTGTTTTGCAATTTGTTTTTTGCCAACACAGGTCTTTAAATGTGCCATGATACAATTTTTCTTACATTTATTGTATAACTCATCAACTTAGAAGATATTTATTAATGAAAAACTTATGTAGTCTTTTAATCATAACCATCTATTAACAACCATTTTTTATGCACAAAGGGTGTTTCTTTTTAATGACACCTTTGATGATTGGAAACACAGCAACATCCATTTGATTTTACAATACGTTTTGCGATTATCATCATTATGAAGACCGCTAGAAATAACAATCATACATGTGATCAATATTCTTATCAATTCATTAAAGGACACTCTGAAAGACTTTAGGGAGAGGGCTAAAATAGGCTGCGCCTTCTGCCCAATCCTATTCACAACTAGTGCTAATTGTAACGGGGACCGTTACTCCCCAAATTTTTTGTGCCTCATTCCTGTACACAGTATCGTCAAAGAATTATAAAAGGTACAATGATATCAACTGTTTTTTAACGAATTGTACGCGCACGCACGTGCATGTACATGCAAGATGATCATAGCATGTTGTCGAAACAATTAACATATCTATATATCGTAAGAAGAAATAAATTCTTTACAATATACATTTTAACGTTTTTTAAAAATATTGGCCATTTTGCGTATTTCGCGCTTGTACGTGCATGAATGAATGTTCGTGCATTCAATTTTGATAGTACCATTATGTAGGAATCCATTATATCCATTCATATTCTAAATTTTATCCCGTTTCGTTGAAAAGTAAGAAAGTTATTGACATTTAAATTTTCAGCCAATCAGATTGCAGCACACGTGCATGCGCATGCTTTTCATGACAATTCTTATATCCATGCTGTAGATCTTTATAAGGTATATAACCATGTTCAAAATTTCAAAGGATTTTGTCGAAAAACAAGAAAGATACTGAGACTATAATTTCAGCCAATCAGAGCGAAGCGCAAGTTTGATTTTACCATGTCATTCTATGCTTCTAATATATCCTTATATTATAAGTTTCAAAACATTTCATAAACAAAATAAATAGTTACGTCTATATCAATTATATTGGACATTTCTGGTGTCGCACGTGCGCGCTCTTGCAAGCACACGTGCATGCACATTCTTTCAAAGAATTTTATCAAAAAACAAGAAAGATATTGAGACTTTTGTTTCAGCCAATCAGAGGGAAGCGCACGTGCATACGCGTGAGATCTTGCTATTTTGACCATGTCATCTTGTCTATGCTACTAATATATCTTTATATTAACAGTTTCAAAACATTTCCTCTAAAATTTAAAAAGTTACGGCAATATTCATTATATTGGTCATTTCACGTGTTGCACGTGCACGCTCTTGCATGCACGTGCACGCAAAATGACCTTCGTTCCGCAAATCTACATAACATGCCGACTGACCCTAAAGAGGTTTCACCTTAGTCGGGTGTGTAGTTTACAAGATCACTCGCGGAAAAGATTTTCCCAGGAAGAAGAAAAATAATAATAATAATAAGAAACAAAGTAAAAACAATTTATTTCCTATCTAGCTTGTAACACGAGCTTTGATTGGTTACAAAGTCGGGTGTAAATATCCGTGCACCCGACTTGTGCCGGGTGTAAATAAAACGTGACGTCACAATGCATACATTCTCTATGATAAAAGCTAAAAATCATGTTTACAAAGCATTTTTATGGGTATAAAGGAAATAAATTCGTTATCCAAGTCCAATCAAGGGTGTACGGTTATTTACCCCGGGTTGTATTCCATACACCCTGAGGCCGAAGGCCCTTGATTGAACCTGGATAACTAATAATGTTCCCCAACTTCGTTTGGGGAACATAATAACACCAGTGAATAAAATATTGTTTAGATTAACTCTGAAAAAGACTTTTTGATATGAAGAAAATCACAATATAGAAAGATGTTCATATTGAGCTTACTAAAATTATATTTCATTCAAACATACTAGTATGGCATGTACACACGGTTATATTTAAATATAGAGGAAGTACAGTGCATGATGAATAGAAGTCGATTTTCCTTATTTATTTAAACAATAACAGTACAAATGTCATACATGTAGAGTTTTAAATTTATTTATCTTAAAGGTTTAGAACGCTTAAGAGGATTATAAATTGAGCAATAAATGGTAAATGTTTATTTTATCATAAGTTAAAGGATTACTTTGAGGTGTCCACGTATTTTTCTGTTTTTTTTTTCTCCAAACATGTCAAGGAGTACGCGCCGGGCGTGACTGGTAAGCAGGGGATGCTTACTCCTCCATGGCACCTGATCCCAGCTCTGATGTTTTGGAGGACCGTGTTTGCTCTGCTAATATCTTGTATTGTTTAATGGACTTTTGAGCTTGAATACTGTTCTTTATCTCCATATATTTCATCTTATTGGATGAAAGTCCATAGAATCAGAAGTGGTCAGCTTACCTCTAATTACAAAGTGTTTAAAGGTTGAAATAAGTATTTAAAATTTTGTGTGAATTATTCTAGAATAAATGTCTCAATACACAAAGAAAGTATATTATATCATATAAAAGTGATGAACAAAAAGAAACACAAAGATTATCACCGCGACAGAATCGATCAAATCTAAAAGCAAGTGAGGTCTTGAGACCTTTCGCAGACGACATATTCCGACATTGCAAAATTATATTGAGCGGTTTATTACCCAAGAGCAATTATTTCTGAGTTAAAGGTGACAAAGTCAACAATAATTGTACAAGTATAGCAACACGAGGAACAAGACATAAAACAATACGATTGTAATCGGTCTGGATGATAAGGGATGAGATCTGATTTCTCTATGGTGACAATAAGAACAGAATGGAGTAACGGGATATGTTAATAGCAGATAGAATACACAGCAGCATAGATTCCAAGCTTGGAAACTGAGGTACAAAAGGCTTTCTTTTAGTCCGATTCATGAACCATGAAGCACAGAAGCTAGGGAGTTCGTCAAAGTACTGATATGATTTTGGCTTTGGCGTCGGTCGGTTAGAGTAATTGAAAGTTAATGTTCTTTAAGCCCTGTATTTCATCCTTAGGGACAAAATGGACTCTTATGGATTAGACACATTCTTGATGGTTCAAAAAAGAAGCATCACATGATATTATTAACCCATGCTGATCTCGGCCATCAACGCCAGCAAACTGATAGTATAAATTCATTTAGCATATCTGTTCATTCTAGATTCTTGCACAGATTTCTGTTCTCTTTGAGTGATAAAAGTTTTAAAAATGTTTATTTTTATTTATTAAATAATGCTTTTGATCTTATCTAATCCGACATGCACTGGGAGAAGAATTTATTTTATTTTATTAAGTAAAAAAATAAACTGACCTTTTATAAAAGTATAGATATGGATTTAAATCATATTAAATATCACATATGCTTTATATAACCCTTTGTATAAATGATAAAGTTTATTTTGTCAATGCTACAGTTGTGGAATAAATTCAATAAGTTAATGCGTTTTAGCAAGCCTTTTGCAAATATCAAAAAAAGAGAAAATATTCCTCTGGGTTCAGAATTAAAAGATTGTTCTGTGATAGACACTGCAGTCAAAAATATTAAACAGTCCAAGTGGTAGATATTTTGTTATTGTAACCAAAAATCTGAAATACTCCAAGAAAAAATGCATGGAAACCGGATTTTTAAAAATTGTAAAGTTCTTACTAAATAAGTTGCTACTGTATCAAAGTCTTAATAAATTATTAGATTTGACTTTCTAATCATTTTAAAAACACATTCAATCAATTTTTAAGCGAGGCAGGATTCTGGAAAATAATTTGATATTCATAAGCTTTCAACAAACTCGACACATCAGTGTTTGGGATATCTTATGGACTTAACAATGACCTTCTTTAATTAATAAAAAACCCCGACTGTTTTAAGTCTAATTGACACGTTTCATACAAAGTGTACAAACATTGCTTTAATACAGTTTTGTTACAGGACTTTACATTACTTGATCAAAACAGAGGACTTCTGATGTATGTAACGTGTCAACATTGTATGTTATCCCTTTTTTGGAACATAATCTGACCACTGGTGTTTCCAAGAGGCCATGATTGTACGCATTTCTGATTATTTTTTTCTTAATATTTATCATTGAGGGAAGTGCTTGTAATCTTTGTCCCTTTTACATGGTAATCTCCATAATAGTATTAAATGAATAAGTATCATACGAGATACTCATAAAGGTATTCAAATGAAAAAAAAAATACATGTATATATAAATCACGTTAAATGAATTTGATTACAATGGACTTCTTTAGGATAAAATAAATTTGGGAATTTGGGAAAATCCATACATGTTTAACTTTACATGTAATTATTGAAAGTGGTTTAGAATGATAAAATCATACTTGAAGGTGAAAAATAAGGCATGAAAAGAGGACATGTGATGTAATTTTCTGTTCCGGGTGTTGCGTCATTCCAGCAGCTCCAGCCGTCCCATATGCGTACACAAGTATTGTTGATTTCCGGTGGAAGAGCTAGCTGTCTCTGACAACAACTATCTGCAGCCTCACAACAGGACACCCACTGATGGCATTCATCTGAAGAGAGTGTCGAGCAGACGTCTGACTTTGCAGATATATTCTTATAGTCCAGCGACTGTATAACTCGAATGCGGCCATTGTAGATAAAAACAACTGATGTTGAACTTCCATTTACATTGACAAACGGTCGATATTTGATGTAAAAAATGAAGGAAAAACACCAAGCGTAGGCCGAAAGCTGAAAATCTCGAACTGTCGCGTGGACTCCGGTCTGTGAGCGACAATGTCTCGAATTTTGCATGTTAGTGATGTTCTGATCAGCATTTTCAGAAACCTGTAAAAAGGACAGTTAGAATTAAGTGGAACGTAACGATTTGTTTTCTTCTCTAAACACATCCATTTAAATCAAGGTTTAAATATACAGCCTAGAATTCGAAAGAAAACCCTATGACAAAACACTGAAAACGAATAACCCCTTTTTTAAATATGGAAAAATAAATGAAATGATTGATTCTACGTTGTTTCACTATGTTGATACTATCTGAGAATTTTGAACTGGTATAGAGATGTCACTTTATACCAATGAAGGAATTCAAATTTAGATTTTGAACTATCTTGGCAATCAGGACCATTGAGCATTGAGGATCTCTATCGAGCCAACCGCTGCCGTGATACGAGAGCTCGATTTTAAGGTCTCATTCAAAGGATCCGCAATTTTTACTTCGTGCCGAGAGCATGGCAAAGGAACAGTTGATACAAATTTTATCGAGTTCGATCAGTTTCGGTCGGGTTTCGAACCCATGACCTTAAGAGTGCGCTCTACTGACTGAGCTATCAAGACAAAGATTCTTGTAAAATACAAATTTCAACAAGAAGACACTAAATTGATCCTTTATTCCATTAAACGTTACACCGGTACCGTATATGTTATTCAGTCGGAAAAGCCAATTTTATAGTGGAAAAGCCGAGATATTGTTGGAAAAGCAAGATGGAATTACCAACTTACTAGTTGGGAATGCTAACTTTAAAGTTGAAATTACAAACAATAAAGCTAGAAAGCGAGACTTAAAGGTTATTTTGACACAGATTTGAACGTTTTCACAAATTTTCTGTATAATATCACGACTCACACAGTGTATTTTGCAATAGCATTCCACCTGAAAATATAATTGACAACTGAATTTATCTGGAAATTATTGGAATTACGAATTCCGGGACGCGTTTGATTAAAACATCCTAAGCCTTGCATTTCACAAATTTTAACTATATCATAAATATTTTAGAAAAGAAGCAATTTTATTGTGTATTAACGAAAAAATATTACATCTATAATCCATAAAATTCAGAGTAGAAATGTTCGAAAGCAAAACCCCCTCACTAGTATCATCAGCCCATGCTCAATGTTGTTAACAGAGTTGAACAATTGAATATACTTGTAAAACGTAAACTATTTATGTAAACAGGACACAAGCTCTGTTTCACCGAATATGTTCAATTGTTAAACTCTGGACACACTATTGAGCACGAACTGATGATACATGAGTGGGTTGAGTTTTTCGAACATTTCTAATGTGAATTTTCTGGATTATAGTGTTATTATTTTGCATTAATGCAAAACAAAATTGTCACCATCCTGTTTACGACAGCTATGTATTTGTTAATTATTTAGCACGAATTTCATATTTGGACGAAGCGAGGGAGAAAATAAACATCAACATTTTCCTTTGTACGGCAACCCATTGAGGTTAAATTAGAGAGATATTTTTTTGAATGCAATAATTACTGCAATTAAAGCAAAGCAATGATCATTGCGTTTTAATGCAAATTTCTTGCACTTAGACGAATTGATTATTACGTTCAAATGCACAGTCTGGCATTAAATCGCTCTGAAGTGGTAGCAAGCGTTTTCCGTAACTTTGAGATGTATTTGGTTTAAATAATTTTCAAGGGAATCAGGTATATTAAGATATTCAAGTAACAAATAATAATTAAACAATTGGTCTATCACTATTTTTTCAGAGGAAACTAACAAAACATGTACAGTATTTTTTCCCCTCTGTTTCTTTTGTAAAGATAATAGAATGCGATACAAGGAAGTGTTTATTATAAAAACGGGAAAGGGAACAAATGTGAAAGGCAGATAAAAGTTTAAAATCAACCTGTTTCCAGCCATTACGAAAAAGACCCCCAGAGAAATATGCTATATGAGATGTATATAAGGATTATTACGCGACGACATCAATTTTACACTATATCAATTTCAATTTCATGTCAGAAACTTCCCTTCCGTCACTCCTCTGAGGTACATGTAATCGTGTAAAGTACTAAATCGTGTGGTAGAGTATTTCTATTACATAAGAATTCCATTTTTACGACAGAGTATGACTTCATCTAAGAGTTCGTTCTCCAAGAGTACAATTGCTTCCAACACAGAAAATGCTCGCCAGGTGATTAGTCGAGAACGAAGGAATTAAAACTCTGCAACATCGTCTATTAAAAATCATCTTTAATTTATACTTGAATTACTTGTATATTTTCAAAATTTGTTTTAAACTGGTCGATAGAATCTATCTGAAAACTTTTTTTCAAATAAAAGTATGCCATTTTTGATATATAACACAACTTTTTATTATTTAAAATTAGGGATGTCAAAATTGTCAATAATTGATATTCGAATATTCGATAGTGGTATTCGAATATATTCGAATATTCGATAAAAAAATACATCTTGCATTATAATATATCTTCACTCTTTTGTCAAGCAATATACATTATTTTATGCCATTATTTTGGAATAAAATCTCATGTAGAGTTTTGTAAATGCAAAGTAGTTATATTCTTAAAATATTTTACAGAATATATGAAGATTGTACATCTCAAATGTGATGATTTTTTCCTGAAATTTCAAAAGACTCTTATAGTACATGTACTTTCCAGATTTATTAATTGTCTTACCAAAGTATACACAGATTTACACCAGACAGAACAATTATGTAATGGAGAAAAATTAAAAGCAATTACTTTTAGCCAATTAATTTCCTGATAATGATTTTAAATGATACAGAAAAACAAGGGATCCATGTGTTTACTTTAAAATTGTGTCCTAACAATACAGACTAATTGTAATTACTGGATACTGTTATACCACTATAATTAAATGATCAAATGGATTATATCCAAGAGGATTGTCTTTTAATTTTGTTTTAAATCAAATCTTATTGCTGGTCAACAGTATAAATTTGATTCAATTTCTGTTTAAACTGCCAGATTTTTCTATCTTTTAAATGCTTGTATACTTAAAATCCGAATATTCGAATCATAAACTGATATTCGAATATCAACTCATCGAATGAATATTTGAATATTCGAATATTCGTTGACATCCCTATTTAAAATCAATGATCGTCAGAATATTATGTTTGTCTTTATTAAGACATAACTTTTGATGGAACAAAAAGGAAATTCCAAAGGAAAACATGTACTAAAAATACGTACATGTATTCGTAATCGGCAATTATTAACTAATAGATTAATACGAATATTATGTTTAATTATGAGAAATCTTACTTTTCTTCGTTTCGCATACAAAAACATATGGCGGAATTGTTCATCAAAAGGGACAAACCGGCAAAATCTGCTGCAGTATAAATTACTTCGATTAGCATTTGCCACAAGAAGATCTGTAATCAAGCAATAAACTCGGTTACTTCTCTGAATTGTAACTTCATTTTAAACGAATCCCAATGATTTTTTTTCCGTACTTTAAGACAACTAATTGCTCTTGAAATAACTTTGTTGAATAGGTATGGTTTTACAGAGCTTAAGATATATACAGGGAATAAAACGAAATACAAATTCAATGGCACATAATACGAGGGCTGTTCGGAAATTATTGAGACAATTACATTTACTCCATAAAGGACGGAGATAATTTCAGGAAAATTCATCAACATTTTATAAAGAACGAATAAAACACTTATGCAAAATTTCTAATTCCTATGATAATAAGAAAAGTTTCGATGAAATAATAAACATGCATATGTCTATCGACCCGGAGCAGCATCAATACGTCGTTTTAACGTCACATCAGCCAGGGATGGTTTCGCATGTAAAACGATCGGAAAGCATTTAATCCTTTTCCTTCTTTGTTATTACATATAACAGTACAAAAATCAAACAGTCTCTTTTCTTAAACTATTCCTTAAAAATTTATGCTGTTGCTACCCGAGTGTAATATTTTCATTTGTGGGAAAAGATTACTTAAAATCATGCAGTGCCGATTTATGCAACGCGGGTCAACGATATTAATACCGTAACGATATTAATACCGTGCATAATAACTGATGGTCGTCCGGAGCTTTTGATTTTACTCTGGTTGAATTAATTGTAAGAAAAAAATGTATACCAATGAAATAACAAACCCTAACACATTATTTTTTTTCTCGTAGTTAGTATTTTAGCAGGTCATTGTGTCTGGAAATAAGTTCTACATTGCGCTACACAAAATTTTAGGTATGTTCGCTGCTCCGCCCTTGACGTCAAAATCCATTTTTTCGTTCTTAGCAGATTTCTCTACCGCGCTTAATTTTTTTATGATCTCAGTATTCCTGATCAAAATTCTATCAAAGTTGCACAAAATGAATTTGAATTAAAGCTGAAAAATTATACACATAAAAAGAATTATTTTCGATCTTATTATGGGTCCACGAAGAGTAAGAACGTTGGCGTTACATATTTTCAATATCTGGTTTCGAGACTGCTCCGGGTACCCCTACTGATGACGCATTTATATACCATTGTACAGAAAATATTTAATATTTGTAAAATATTTTTTGCTTTTATGAATTCTTAATGTATGTCATACGTATATGCAAATTTTCACCGAAAGACGTTCATTAGAAAGCAAAATATACACAATGTCTCAATAATTTTCGAACAGCCCTCGTATATTGCACTCGCAGCAAGACAGTTGTATCTGAAATAGCCAAAGATACGATTCTTCATAGCTCTTAATTACAAACAGTGAATGAAAAGGAACACGGATTTCTTAGCACTTATTTCTGCACTCCCATTAAGACATAGGAAACTTAAACATAGGGCGTAATATTACTTAAAGAATGAGTGCTGAAACATCCTCATAAGTGTTCTTCTTTAGCAGAAACACCCGCTGTAAACTACTGGATAATTATCCAGAGCATAGTGGTCTTGAAAAAGTAGAAAGGGTTCTGTAAAAACAGAATATGCAAACCGTAAAACCCAGATTCTTTGATCTTGATTGAAGGAAAACATTTTCCCCATCTGATGCATAAACAAAAAATTTGTATTGGTCAATTTTTTCAGATTGTCCCGGTTTTTTTTTCTTTTTTTTTTTTTTGTAGTTTTTGGTATGAATAAAAAGAGTTGGGTGAATAAGGCATGTTTTTTTGTTAAAAGCAAGAAAAAAATAACATCATGTAGAAGTGAAATATGTCATTTATTAAAGTTAATGACGGAAGAAGTGACACAAATTTAACGAAAGGGGGGTCAGAAAAGGGGACTCAAATTAAAAGTATTACACATTTTAGGCAAAATATAATTACATAATCTGACCCCCAGCACTATAATGACATTGTAACAGGGTGTACATAGGAAAAGAAAGGGGAGTCAACCAGACTAGAAGAAGAATTCAAACCCTGTAATCTTTTACAAGGTTCATGTATTTCAAGTTGACCCGCTAATAAACATCATAAGATTCAAAAACATATATAAAATGATCTACACTGCTGCCTGCCTTTAAAAAAAGTTGGGTAAAACAAAATAATGCATATAAAGTATTTAGATTAGAGTCCTCGTAATTGAAAATAATGAAATTATAATGAACAAATCTTTCTCTTTAGCGTGTGTATACTAATTCATAAGCAAGAAATTTCAATCTTTTTAAGAATTTTGTAAATTGTGGAGTTTTTGCATAAAGTATTCTTTAATATTAGATGAGATATCAAAGAAAATTACAATTAAGATTTTTTCACCATGTTTGTCGAACTGTAGGCGTTTGATTCGTCTTGTTCACCCATTTTTTTTAAGTTTCAAAATTAAAGATAATTATACAAAAGAACGTTTATTCCTTTAACTTAAAAAATTCTTTCAAACAGCAATGATTTTAAGAACAATAGGCAACAGAGTTTAAGAACCCTCTCCACTACTGACTGTAGTATCCGCCTTGCTACGAGAGTACTTATTTGTGAAATATGTATCCACAGCGAATTAAATTCAAAATTGTTGAAACCTTTTTTACGCATCATCATATATCTTACAATCGTTTTAATTAGCAATGAGGTTTTCATGTATAATTTAAGATAAATCTATCAATTAAATCAATAATAATGAAAAAAATATTTACTGGGAATAAAATCGTGTCTTTTCAATTTATCAAAACTTTTAAACCCTGAATAAATTGTATGGAAATTCAATGTACAAAAAAGGCCAAGATTCTAAATATTCACTTCTGTGATCTCTTTATCTTTTATACCCTACAAGGTTTAGAAATTAGAAGTCTAAACATCGTTTTGTTTTCATTAAAAAATATTGTATGAAACAGTTTTCAGTAATTTTTGATAATCATGGATTTATTGAGGACAATTTCATATATAGCAATTAAATGTTAACATATATAATGTTTAGAGTAATGAGAAAGAAATTTCGATAGGAGCTAGAGGCAGACGATTGACCCTGACATAAAACAAAACCCCCCAGCGTGTGCCAGACTATAAAAAGTAGGTTACGTGTCTTATAGATGTAATTATGGTTAAATCTACATTAATTTAGGGTAACCATTTTTATTTTTAGACTGGTTACCATTTTTAATCTAAAACTTGTAATAATAATTATTTTATGTAGCTTTAAAATCCTCATATGCATTTAAGTTTTATACCTTTTTAACCAAGCAATTCGAAAGAAATGAAGTTCATGAATCCAGCTGGTAAATCTTTGGTAAAAAGCATAAAAAGACGTAAAAGAAAAATATAACTTCGTTCATGAGAACCCTATTTTTATAGTAGAGTCTTCTTATGCAGAATAAGTTTTAATAGAGCAACACAGAATGTACTTACCTTAACTGATGAAAAAATTAGCGAAGTCCAGAGAATAGCATGCATTTCTTTCATCCTCTTTCTGTTACAACAGAATCAATACTGATGGTAGAACCGGAGAAGTGAGCACATAAAAATCCCGGACCGGATAAAGATTGTCAGTGTGATGAAAGAAAATCAGCAGGAAATTTAACTTAGACGAAGTGATTTCATTTCTGTAACTGATCTTTTTCTATTAAATGAGTGAAAAAGAAACAAAGGCATCGCTTTTTTAGGGCAATGTTGAGCTATATTAATGAGATTTGAAACACGTTCGGGGAAATTATGTCATTTTGTATAACTATCAATTTTCAAAACAATGTCTTTCTAATATATAGGAGTAGCGTTTTATTATGTCACTTTAACGTATTGTGGAATCGTAATATTCCCTTGGGACAAATATTGGAGATTTTGGCTAGACTCCTTCAATAACGACTGTCCTTATTAACCATTATTTTTAAAATAAACCTATTTAATGAAATCTGTGTTTGTATTAACGAGTTAATTACGATAATAAGTAAATATTTGATCGCCCAGAAATATAAATATTAAACCCTTTTCCCGAAACTAAAATGATTCACATTATCTGAATAAAATGAGTATAATTGATTAATGTTCAGTTCTTTCCAGTATCTAATCAACATTTGATATACATTTACTAGTAACTTATTTGAAAATCTTGTTGAATACAGATCTACAATGCAATGTACAACACAAACAACAATTTTGAAAACCAATGAACTTGCAACCAGCTGTGAAATATAAGGTCAAACCTGCAGCAAAATCAATGTGTATATTTGAATTGGATTGATGCTTGCTCTCATGAAATAATTAACTTTTGCTCTTAGAAAAACACAAAATGCCACTAGGAAACACTTAAAAAAGGTTACAATCAATGGTTTATTTTCGAAAATATTTTCATATATTTACTAGTATTATCATCATAATTGTTTTACATTTCATTTAAGCAGTCTATTTCATTTAAAGATTTTTGCTGAAGCAGATTTCTTTTATGTGCAAATTTTCTTAAAAGATAGGAACTAACCAAAATTTTTTTTTTGCATATCAACGATGTGTATCTAAAGATATTCCTTAACCTCTGCTATAATAATATATCGTGGCAAAGTAAAATCAGCTTTTCAGTTTAATTAGGTTCATCATGAAGAAGTCCACCCATTTATTTTTTATGTATACATGTCCTTGACAAAAATCCCGTAATAGCCATGGCAAATGAATAAATCCTCAAATTCTTAAACATTAAAATACAAATGTAGTATATGAAATTGAGCCACATGTAACTAATGGCTATTAAGCTCACAAGTGTATTGAAGCGATAGAAATTGTGGGCAGATTTAGAGCAAATACGGACCTCTTTTGACCGCAGAGGTTGGATCAGGTCCCATGAAGGAATAAGCATTCACTGTCTATCGGTCACACTTAGAGTATGCTCTTTGTCGTGATTGGGAATACGGAAAATTTCGTAGACAACATAGTGTGTTAATACAGGTCTTACAGTTTTTATGAAAAACGTTAGCCAACATTCGACGTTCATAGGTATTGCATTTGCTGACAAGTTATTGCTTTTACCATAAATTTCGCAAAATTTTGACTTTGAATACTATGAAATTACAAATTTTAGTAGGGGTTTTATTTTCGTTGTTTTCGAGGTATCAAGAGACCCACTAATTTATGACCGCTACGAAATGTAAATTAAAACATGGATAAATACTCAACAATTATTTATCCACGAAATCGAATCCCCACGAACAAAGATTTTTCTCAAACCACGAAAATTTGACCCCACGAAAATATGTGATTCTACACTAGACTGTTGAAAATAACTTGATGACGATAAAAAATTGAAATCATCACAACTATATATTAATATTTATCACTGCTTTTTTTTAAAAGTAGATTTTGCTAATGTATCTTGTTGTACAGTAGTCCTGAATATTCAAATGCACTACTCTCACATTTTTATGGTGTAAAATGGCTTGGTAAAATACGTTTTAAGTATGAAAAACGTCAGTCAGCATTTGAGTCAATGATAGATTATATTTGCTGAAATTTGAGTATATTTGTACATGTACGAAATGATGACTTTAAACGAAGCTGCTGGTATTCTTATTTCAATAGCTTGTTTGTCAACAACTTACCTCGTTTTAGAAATTGTACATACGTAGAGCATGCCCTTGCGTATCGAATCAACTGAGAGATACCGGGTATAAACTCCGTATTCAGGTAATGAAGGTGATAAGAATGATTAATAAATTGCTTTTCAACTTTTATTTTCTGCATTAATGTTTTAGACTCCTTGCGCTTCCATGTGGTCAAGGGATGCAGACTTATGGACAGATAATTGGAATTAAAAGGTTAAAAATTAGAGTGTACAAACAGTCGATGATGAAACAAGCCAAACATTAATGTATGCTTTTTTTTTTGAAGACATAAAACGGAGATGTGCTCATAATATGACTTTAAATGTTTGCCAGCCGACTCATGGAGAGAATCTCTCCTTAAATAGTCCTGGCCTTGAGCTATGGATCATTCATGAGTAGCATAATTTTTATAATGCAAAAGATGATCAAACAAGGACCAATCTTAAATTAATTAGCAACTAAAAGAATTTAAGGAATCTAAACTGTCATGTTTGCAAAAAGAGAAATGGAAAATACACATAGACGACTAAAAATTTCATTTGGAAGCTCTAGGTTTTTTTCATATCACGTGGTACTTGATCAAATTGGGACATTTGAAAACAAAAGTACGTAGACTTTTATAATCACTATGCAACATAAATTTATTCCTATACACATTTTCTTTTCATTCAAAATCATAATAAGGAAGTTTGTCGGGTGCTGCGACCGAAATCAAAGTGCATCCGAACTATACAAAAATTATCGTGATAATTTGTCATGAATTGCTAAAAATTCCCTATCAAGTTATCAAGAGATAAAAAAAAATCAAATTAATAGACATACAATACACATTGACACTGGCACTAATAGGAACTTCAGATTCGTTGCAGTAATATCATAGGGATAAAGATTATAGCACGCACTTTAAACAGAAAAAAGTTTTCATTACGCTCACAACATCGAATTAAATTGATGAGGAATATCGTTTGGCGTATTTATATCGGACACATTATTATCAATCTTTATCACAAATTCATTTCCAAAAGACGATGTTTTTTTTTAAATACTAGCTCATATATAGTTATATTGTGGTTTGTATGCTACCATGATAGTAGTATTTATACAGAAATATAATTCAAGCCCTTTCTCTGATTTTTATATGGTCTATCCCTGGCCTGTCAGCAATACAGAAATTTCCAGAAATCAGTAACCGCACATATCTAAAGTTATTTTTTAAAAAATCATAGTGTGTCTTTTTTTATGGAATCCTACAAACTATGGCAGACAATAAGGATTTTTAAAAAAGAAAACCGAACATATCAGCGAAATTCACACAATTTTTCCAGTTAAGATTACAACAATTGCTAGCATATTTTAAAAGCAGAATGCAAGTAGATAAGAAATGTTGAAATTTTGTGGTAAGTGTAGCTTGTGATCGTTCTTAGACGTTCAATTTTATTGGAAAAACAGAAGAATTACTTCACATATTTATCAAAGCATTGATTTTATAAATACTGATTGACTGACTAAGTATTGATTTAATAAAACAGGCATTTGATTCCCGAAATGAAACGGTGGTGCTCATTGACCATTTAGTCAATGAGAGGCTTGGAAGAATAATTTACTTACAATGTCTGAAACTTTTTAAAATAATTTTGCATTGAAGAGGAATCTATTTTATTTAGTCATAATGGTGCTGATGCCTAAAACATAATTAGAAGAGGTGGGATCAGGTAAGATGGGGTAAATATTCCCCAATCGACCGGACGGATCTGTCGTATGCTTCCTACAATGATTACTCGCGTACGTGTAAAACACAATGGTTAGAACGTAAACTCTGGAGCCATAGAGTAAAGAGTTGATCCTTGCGTCATAGGATGTGGAGACCGCCTCTTCAGATACAAACTGATATATATAAACTGAGTTCTCTGTCGCAGTAGTTACTGACGCCAAGAAGATCTCTCTCTCTCTCTCTCTCTCTCTCTCTCTCCCTCTCTCTGCTCAATGGCTCTGAGTGCCGAGTACAAAACTAAATTTTGCAAACCTCCATCTGCAAGTCAGTCTGAGTAAAAAAAAACTCTCGAAAGGGACATTAAATAGACAAATAAACAGACAGCATGATTTCTCTACATTTTACGTCATAATAATATTCACGAATCATTTGATAAAAGATGCTTTATTATAGTTATAAATTAAAGTGTGTTACTCTTTACATGTATCAAGTCTCTTTTTTTTTATTTTTCAAAATAAAAATAAAAGTGTATGAACATTTGTCTGAGCAATTCTTATTCAAATAACACATTGACTTCATTATTGACAAGATATTAAATTGATGATCATTCTTTGGTTATTCATATGCAGTCAATAAAAATATTAACTTGTTAACATATAACCAAACTTCAAATGTTCTTTTACTAGTATTCTTGAAATTCATACATTTTGTCCTTCTAGGTCTGTAAGTTTATGTCTCTATTAAAAAGAAGAAGTTTTTTGGAATATTAAGCAACGGTTTTAATCAAACAATTTTCGTAGAAACAGCATTCCTGTCCCCTACATAATTTGGTTAATATTGGGTTTCCAAGCCTGTTGTCTTGTTGATTTGTATGTTGTTTAACATCCCCCTCGAGAAATTTTCACTCATATGGAGACGCCACCACTAGCCGGTGGAGAGCTGCAAATTTTGTCCTATACTCGGCACTAAGGGCCATGGAGCAGTGAGGGATATGTTTCTTGCCAACACCTACTGCGACAGGGGACCTGAGTTTATAGGTCTTATACGAAAGACCGGTCTCCATTTTCCACAGTGTTCAAGATATATTAAAATTAAGGTTTATTTATCTTTAAGGAATGAGGTGTAAATAATCAGAATAGTGTATGCATCTGTAATCTTTAAATACACATACTGAAACATGTGAAACAAAAAAAAAAGGAAATGCAGGGTAAACCAAC